TTTATTACCAGGTATGTTTTGAAAAAAATAAATTTTCATTATTTAAAAATAAGGCAAACGTATTTATCTAATTCTCGGATAATCACTCGATTAATAATCTAATCTAGCAAAAAACTGAAAAAAATAATTAATTCCCTTCGAAATAGCAACCCCTACAAAGGAGAGACTGTGGGGGCGTCCATGGGAATTCGGAATAAAATTTTGTAGGACAGGTAGACAGATATAACAAGTTTGTATTCTGCATGAGAAATTTATTTCAATTAACATAATTTTAGACTTTTATTAGTGTAAAATTCTGAAAAAAATCCTGTTATATAGCAAGTACAGAACTATTGTACTAGTTTGCGGACATATAGATTGCTAAAATATATTTAACCTTAATTTTCTTAAAATTAAAGCAGTTCTCATCTTAAAGCTTTGAAAATGGAATATGATTGGATTTTGAAACTTTTTCATAAAACACAAATTAACAACAATGTTGTCATTACAAATATTAAAATTAACAAAATATATCCAAAATAATAATATGAATAAAAATTGAAATTAAATCTTTAAATGTACTTTAATATATGTATATATTAAATATTATTATTACATATTTGTCTGATTTAAATTTAATAAAAATTATTTTTTTCTTTTTAATAAAATATGTATTTATCCTCTCTTTTCTGGCACAAGTGTTTTATATAATTTTTCATTTTCACCGAGAACAAGTCTATCACACAATTCTTTTCCCTAAATTTTTAAATTAAAAATAAAATTATTTTTAATTATTTACTTGAATAAAACAGTGATCTTGGTTGGATACTTCATATTTCCACCCGCCAAAACGCCCTCGACTATAAATTTGGTATTCTTCGAGAATTGAATGGCAACGAGAAAGTTCTGAATCTCTCTTAAATTGTTATTTTTTTTTTTGATAAAATTTTATTTTTTTTGAAATACTTGAATTGTTGGAATAGGATAACCATAAGGTAAGGTAATTGAGAAAATTGAAACAATTTTATCTCTTTTAATTATAGTTTTTCTTATAAGTCCTTCTACAGCTTGATCACGAATTTCCTCTTCTGTTGCCTTTAAAAATTTTTAAAAAATTAAAATTATGTACAGAAAATAAAAATTTCATTTAAATATGTATGAATATATGTCTGTAATTTTAGAATTTCGTGGCGGTTATGTCTGAGTATGGAGTTTACAATTTTTCGAGGTTGGGCGGGATAAAATTATTAATAGTTATATTCATTCTGAGAGTCGTGGGTTTGGAGTAGAGTAGGTCGAGGCCTCGCCGAGGCCAGCCTCGGTGATCCTCGGTCTCGGTTTTTTCAAAAAACCTCGACCTCAACCTACTCTAGTTTGGAGTACAACTTTAATTAATTTTAATTACTTTCATTTTAACATTTTATCGCTAAATTTTATTATCTACTAACCGGATCATCAAAAGGTAATGCACAATCACACATTACAGACCAATATTTGCTACTATCTGGAGTAACATCTCCATAACTACAGATATTTTAATTAAAATTATTTTAAATTTAAATTTTACCGCGAAAAGAAAGTAACTCGATAAAAAGGAACTTTTGGATCAGGAAAATATAACCAAGTAAATTTCTTTAAAATAAATAATTTTAATACAGATATTTTCGATTTACTATTTTTACCTGGCAAAATTCGGTAAATGGTAACTCTAACCCAACACCAACAATAATTACCTTTAAATAATTTTTAAAAATAATGAAAAACCCCATTGAATATCTAATTTGATTTTTAAAAAAAATTTTTTAATTTTCATGGCTACAGTCTGCAGCAATAATTTCCAATTTTGGAATTATTTTCAGTATTTTCCAGTAAAATTCTTTTAATTTTTTATCATCTACCTTATTATGCTTTAATTGTAAAGGAGTACATATTTTTGTTTGTTCAACAAGTAAATCTATCGGTCCAGAATTAATTAAAATATCATAGTTAAGACGATGTTCTCTTCCTTCAGTATTTGTATATACTAGCCTTTTGTTGTTGTAATCAATTTTGATCACCTTTTTTTAATTTTTAAATTTTTTTATTAAAATAATCACTCTTTCACAAAATTAATTCTCGAATTGCCTAATACATATGTATAATTTTTAAATTAATTTTACTCACATTAGTACCATATTTGAACCACTTTGAAGGCAACATTTGTTCCATCTTTTCCCAAACAGCACCCGTACCGCCATATTTGGGGAACTTAAATGTATTTAATCGTTGATATTACTTTAACTAAAATATTTAAAATGTTCTCAAAACTCACAGTAAAATGAGTATTTGGTCCCCAACCAAAATCTGCCTTCTGAAAATTAAAAAAAAGTGAGAAGGGTTGTGATTTCTAAATTTTTTCCTCTTTCACTAAAATGGAAACTTTTTCACTAAGTTTATTCAAAACTCAAAACTTTCCTCATTTATTTTTTAATATTTTCATTTAATTATTTAAATATGTACTTTTAATTCTTCCTTTCCCATTTCACATAATTCTTCAAGTTTCTCTTGTGGTAACTTAGCAACTCTGGTTCCGACCCACGAACATGACCTTTTAATTAAAAAATATTTTGTTTCTTTTAAATATTTTTTACATTTTGGAAGTATCCACCGTCCAAACTTTTTTTGTATACGGCTTGAAGAAAATCTCAAGGATTGAAGGACCAAAATGATGGAGAACCCAACTTTCAAAATCAGTGGGGGATGATTGAGAGATGTTTTGCTGCTTTTAATTTAAAAATATTATTTTAAATTTATTTTGTCTTAAAGGATTTTCTAACGAATTTTAAATTTACACTGTGCACAAAATTTTCAATTTAAAAATTTTTTTCAGATTAAATTTATTAAAGTTATTTACATCTTCATATCGTTGCTTTAATTCTGTCAAACATTTCCTTTTTGTTTCTTCAGGGAATAAAGGGACAGCAAATTGGGCTGGATATGGAACGAGATTAATGCCTTAATTAATCGAATAAATTAAATATTCGAAAATCTGGATACCAGATTCTCCATATAAATAATTTAAGTCAACCATACAATTACGTTCTAAATTATTCCATTCTTTTATTGCTTCTTTTGTCGCTTAATTTTAATTAATTTTTTAAATAATTTTTTAGGAACTATAAACCTTTTTCATAATAAGGAAAATTATGTGAAAATGTAATATGTCCACCCATATCCCAAAGAAATCCGTGTTCATCCCGAATCTTAAATTTAAATTAATTTTAAAATTATTAAATATGCATCTCTAATATTTTTTCCTTTTTTTAAAAATTAATCTAAATAATATGGACAGGCGTGAATCATTAATAATATAACGTAAATACTCTAATAGAAGCCTTGGGCTTATGTTTTTCAATGGTTTTCCTCAGGGCCCGTAGAATAAATTCGGGGTAAGGGTTATTTAACCCCTACCCGAGGGTCAAATAACTCACAACCCGCAGCATAAATTCCTACTCTGAGTTCAGGGTTAAACAACCCGGTAGTTTAACCCAAAACCCCGAGTAGCTTTTCACATTGGTAGAATAAATTATTTACTCGGGTCAAATAACCCTCAGCTAAGGGTAAAAATGCTACACTGGTCGGGGGCAGTGTAACAGGGTAAAACGCGTCTCGAATGCTCTTTTCAAAAATATATTAAGTTTTCAAAATTATGAAAAAAATTTTGTATGCAAAAAAATGAAACATTTAAATTTCTTTATTCAAAACGTGCCACAATTTCATTTCTTCTTTTAATAGCTTCAATTCTAATCCTCCGGTCACCCAAGGATCTATTATTTTCTTGAAATATTTCCATATCTGGTTGATTATCATCAAATTCATCGCCAATAATCGGCAAACGACGATCAATAGCGATATTATGCAATACTGCGCATGCTGTTATTGCAGTTGGAATTTGTTCCAAATTAATACGATACCCAGTATGATTTATTGAAAAACGTCTTTTAAACATACCAAATGTATGTTCTATTCGGGATCGTCCTTTACAAAGCGCTCTATTAAACTTCTTTTGTGAGTCAGTAGTTGGATTGTTAAACGGCACCATTAACCATTTGCGTAATGGGTATCCGGTGTCACCGAGTATGATCGAATTACCGGCGTTGCCGGCTTCAAAGAAATCCCACACGGGAGACTGTCTGTGTAATTTTTTTATGTTTGAAAATTTAAATAACTACCTAAGTACGTGAGAATCATGACATGACCCCGGCCAAGATGCAGAAATATGGAGAAACTTATTATTTGCCGAACAGATAGCCATCACATTCAAGGAATGGAAATTTTTTCTATTTACATAACTTCTTTCATCTTCAATTTCGGGTGCTACAATTCTTATCCCATGCTTTATAGCATCTTCTAGAAGAAGCTGCATCCCTGCTTGTAGGAAATAATTCGGCAGAATTGTCTGATATTTTAGTAGCTAATTCAGATGTCATTTCCTTGCTAAAAAGGGCCATTTTGGTTTTTTCTTTAAAAATATGAAAATAATTATAATGTAGGTTAATAAATAGTGTTTATTTTAAACCAATATTTCGAAATCCACATTAAATTTTTATGAATGCACATCTACTAAAAGTAAAAGGGAGAACCCAGAGAACATATCAACAATAATTTATTCTTTAATAAAAATATTTGTTTATTTAAAACTATTTCAAAATACACAACATGATTTTAATAAAAAATTAAGGATGGTTAAAGAAAGTTCAATTTAAAAATAAAGGCAAGAGACAGAGTTACTCGCGAGTTACAGTAACCTCTAGTTTGGAGTAAAAATGCGAATTTATTCTACGGAATTTATTCTACCAATTTTACTCGGAACTCAGGGTTATTTAACCCAGGGTTATTTTACCCGGTTATTCAACCGGTTATGTTACCCCGAATTTATTCTACGGGCCCAGATGGGCTTATATTAAATTGGATTTCTAATACAAGAGGGGGGCTTCTATTGGAGTATTTACGGTAACTTTCAATGAACGAACAGAATGTATTTATGTCTTTATTTTATTTAATAATTTAATTAAAGAAAAATAAATTAACCGTCCCAGAAAGCCCCCCAGGTTTCATTTCCTTCTCCAAAACAATTAATTCAATATCGTCAACATCTTCAATTCCTTCTTTAATGATTTCATTTAAACGATAGGCAAAGCCTAATGTTGTTGGAGCACAACCAATACATACAATTCTCATTTTTTTTAATTAAATTATTTAAAATTAATTATTTTATTCAAGTTTTTAATAAAAAAATATTATTAAAATGTCTGTGAAGATATAATAAACTAATTAAATATTTTATCTATTTGAACGTCAAATATAAACTGGTCATCAAAAGATATATATCCCTACATTAATCTCTCTTTTCTATTTATTTTTAAAACCCTTCTCGACATATACATTTTCAAATATATTTAATAAATTTTGCGCAAATTCCAACAATATTAGAGATGAAAAAAGAAATAAATATCCGGGTTGACATTTTATTTTCTTGTCTGCTGGCACCAATTACCGTTGATAAATAAAGAACGAAAGTAACGAGAGAGATAATCTAGACATGTGATTTTATTGATATTTTTAAATGAACAGTGATCGTTTTATAGTTAAAATAGCTGAATAGAACTTCAAGGTTGCTGATCTGGCAGTCGAAAATGGTCTTAAACTAATTCGAAAGTGCTCTTCATGCTTCGCAGAATTACTTAAACTCAAACTCGGTCAAACCATGTCCTCTTGATAAAAAGAATCTATTGGCAACAGAATATTGAAACAAGTTACTGATTAACACCAACCACATTTTTGAATTTTTAACCCTTATGTGGAAAAGTAGAACTGAAAGTTATTTCACCATATGTCGATTTCAAATTTAATATCTATTTTGTCAATAAATCTTGTGTTGTACTAAATTTGTTGTGTATCTAAGGGCACAATAAATTTATTATAATTTAATTTATCTTCACTATAGTGAAAAATAATTTAATTAATTTACCTATTATAATTTAATAAAAATAAGATATTTTAAAAATAATAATATAATACATAAATAGTTATTTATTTTTCTTTAATTATTTAGACAAATCTGTTTACATTATTTCATGTTAGCTGTAAAATATATGCTCTAATAATTACCCCGGGTAATTATTGTTTCGATCTCTCACTGGAGGGAGTAATTAATAGAGCATATACGGTACTCTCAATTTCTTGCTTAAAAAATATTGTTTATCAATTTTATGCATTAACTATCAACCTAATTTTAATATTTCGAAAATATCAAATATCAAGCAGATGTTTATTTAATAAATTTATTTTATCTTCATTTAATATTTAAATTATTTAAAAAAAATTTTTTTAGCTCCCCCATATTTACGATAAAAGTTAATATATAATTAACATTTTAACGACACGGATATTAAACAAAAAAAGGCAGATGTTTAATTAAAGTATAAGTAACAATTTAAGAGAAAAAATTTTTTACATTTTAATTTTTTTACAGTTTTTTTCTAAAATTTTAGAAAAAAATTTTAACTTTCTTTTTTACTTATCAATTAAACGTTGTTGAGCTGTCTCTTGGTTTTATGCGATATTTATGCGTTCTACGATTTATGTTTTGGTCTTGTTAGGGATCGGTTAAAATCAAAATATGATTAAAATTCTGTCTGATTTTGAGGCAAAATTCAGTCAAAATTTAATTCGAAATTATTTAATTGGATTCTAGTAAAGTCAAAAATTTTTATAATCAGACCTGGTCACGGATACTGATTTTGGTATCGGTATCCGGATATTTACGGCGGATACAGGCGGATATCCGCAGGCATTTTGGTATTATCTGTATCCGTATCCATGACCAGGTCTTATTATAATCCTACTGGGATTGATTAGAATAGAAAACAGATTATTAAATAATTTTTCTTTTTTATAATTAAATAAAATTAAAAATATACTAGAAAATTAATATTCACATATTATCAAATGAAACAATCAAAACATATCTCTCTCTAAAAATTTTAAATTATTGTTTAATTGTTTAAGTTAACAAACTTTTTTTATTCATTTATTTGACAGAAACAAATTTAAAAAATATCCTTATTTATGGATATAAAAACATTTGTCTTTAAAACAATAAATTTATTTACTGACACTATTGGGCTTTTAATTTTTGGAAATGTTGTTTATTTAACTATAAAATATAAGTAAATTTTTTTTATTTTAATAAATTAAATTTTTAATAAAATAAAAATAAGATTTGGGGGAGTTTAAAGCTAATACATATTATTAATTTCCCTAAAAACGCCAGAAAGAATTGACAAAAATACGAAAAATATTAAATATATGTACATATGTAGATTAAATATAAAATTATTGGAAAATTTTGAAAAATATCAAAATGAAAATACATCCTAGAAGATTAAAATGATTTAAAATATTTCCTGATTACATAGTTAATATAAGATTTATGAATTTCCCTAGAAATCGAATTGATATTGCTAAGAAAAATATGGAGTTCCATTTTTAGCAGACTTCATACCAAAATTTTAACCTTTCAGAGATCTCCATACACTTTGCCACATCCTTCTTGGGCTTTATTCTTTATCTCAAGCCTGCTCTAAAGTTATGCTGCTACCGTCTTACATACTTTATGTTCTGCAAAGCACAATCCCTATTTATTCTTGTGTTTTAATTTCTCTAATACCTAGAGCATTAATGATGGGCACTTTTACATTTATGGTAGCAATTGGAATTGATAGAATGCTTGGAATTTGTTTTCCTTTTTGGTTAGTTCTAAGTTGAGATCAAAACCATGTTTAAACTTTAAACATTTCAAGACAACCTTAAAACATACAAGAGAGTTTAGGGTAAAGAGTTTATACTCTGTTGCGGGCTAAATCGAACCTCGTGGTTACTAAAGATCGTCATCTTACTTATTGTTTAAAAAATATAATTTTAATTTTATTTAAAAGGTATATGCAAAATAAGAGCAAACTTTATCGGCTTTTTTTAATAGGCACACCATTTTCGTATCCTTTGTATTATTTATATTTAATGCTTCAAGATTTGTCAAATAACAGGTTTAAATATATAATTTTAAATATTTAAAAAAATTATTTTTAGTCCTTCAAATTGTTTATTAAATTACAGCAATGTATTTAATACACTATTCCCAATTATTTGTGTTATTTTTACATTATTTTGCTATTTAATTATTTTATTGAAAGCAATATTTGGAAAGGATCCGATAGGTAAGTAATCTATTAAAATTATAAGAAAATATGTTTAAACGCTTACGGTACTTTCGGTTCGGTTAATCGAAGAATTTACGGAACCCGACAACACCAAATACTAGGAGATCAAAGGCATTCAGTATGGAAATTTTTTTATCAATTGTCAATTGTCGTTTAGCGTTTACCTCCAATACAAATTAAGGAGACAAACGATATAATAGGAGAATTTCTTCTCTAGTCTTTCTATTCTTCGCGCCTCATGTATTCTTTTCTCAGCTTTGTAAGAAAATGTAAAGAAAACAGAGAGAGTGAAAAAACTTGATATCTCACTCCTTTTCCCTCTTTTCCTTATACTCAAACACACCCGAGGACATAACTTTGACTAGCCATAACTTGGCCCAAAGTCGTTTTGCAAGAAAACGGACATCACTTTGCAATAGGAAGTCTAGGATTCTCTATCGAATGGTGCCAAAAAATCTCAGATTTTCAGTCGATATTCCTCCAAATCCACCAATATCCCCTTTAATCCACAGATATCCCCTTAATCCCTCCGATTTTCATACCATTAGATAGAGGAGAGAGTTTTACATAATATACGTAAAAATCAGAATTTTAGCTTTACCTTCCTAATAGTTATAAAATTTATAAGACGCTTAATCAAAAATAAAAGGCCTATTTAAGAGAATGAGTTCATATTTCTCTCAAAAATAGATGTACCTCGCGCGAAAGCTTATAGTAACTTTATTTATTAACGAAAATTTTTAAAAATTATATCAAAAAATAGAGCACATTCTAATCTATCTAAAAATATTTTATTTGGAATTTTTAGGTTGAATTTGGATTTTTAAAAAAAAAATTTTTAAATTTCAAACGATAAATTTGGGGGACGGGGTTGAGCATCCACTAAATTTGTCGTTCAACTACCGTATTTTCACTTGTTACCATAATAAATTATCGTTTCAAACGACAAACGACTAATTTCGAACGATAAACGACAAATCTCGACGACAATCGATATAATAGAGACGATAAACGATAAACGACAAAGATATTAATTTGCATTCGAGGTATCCGACAAACGACGTATGCGAACGATAAACGTGAAAAATATATCTATCGTTTGTCGATTGTCTCCTTAATTTGTATTGGCCCCAGGACGCCTTATCGAGATTTATTTAAAGGTCAATCTCTGCGTGAAGCAATTCTTAAATCTTCAGCTACATTAATTTTTATTCAAAATTTTGGTTGGATTTGCTATCTTGGTGTTAACTTTTATATTAGAAATTATATTAAAGAAAATGATCAAATATTACTCTACTGGAACTTTGCAACTATTTTTTCTTCTTTAATTACTATTATTGAAGTTATTTCTCTTTTTATTACCAGGTTTGTTTTGAAAAATAAATTAGATTTTCATATAGTAGCTAAAAATAAAATTCTATTAATTAAATAAAACTTTGAATAATGATTACCCTCCATTGAAATAACACCTCTTAGTATACCTCCTTACATTAAAATAAACATATAGGTACATATGTTTTTATCTATACACCAAGTACAGAACTATTGTAGTACATACTAGAGACCGGACTTGAGTGATCGATCGATAATATCGGTATCGTTTATCGATAATATCGACATCGATATTTTTTTCGATATATCGTATCGGTCCGGTCCCTAGTACATACATATAACTCTAATTTACAAAAATTCTTAACTTTAATTTTTCTAAAATTAAAGCAGTTCACATCTTAATGCTTTGAAAATGGAATATGATTGGATTTTAAAACTTTTTCATAAAACACAAATTAACAACTCTGTTGTCATTACAAATATTAAAATTAACAAAATAGGTATATCAAAATAGTTTGAATAAAAATTGAAATTAAATATTTAAATGTACTTTAATATATATAAAAAAATTTTATTATTATTATTTGTCTGATTTAAATTCAATAAAAAAAAGAAAAGCAACAAATAATTATTCTGGTTTAAAAAAATAATTTTTAATGGAATTCTAAATAAATAAAAGACTAGAATTAATTAAAATAAAAATATTTTTAAAGAAAATCAACATTTATTTTCATTAAAATTTAAAGAATAACAAGAAGTTAAACAATCCTGAATTGAAGGGTAAAAACATCCCTCAGGGATTTTATTGAAAAGAGAACAACGATGGAAAATATTTAGAATTGAATCTGAAAATAAATTAAAAATATATTTTTTAATTTAAATTTAAACTGGATTAGAAAATTGGAATATTTTGGTTTAATTCTGAAAAAATTTCTGAATTTGTTAAAACCAAAAAATCCCATAATTTAGACCCTAGTTACATTTCCCCACAATTTCCCATTCGCAATATTCATACCCTTACTTAAATATAATCTCGATTATAATTACCAAATATAACGACAAGTTAGTTGAAATTATTAGGTATATTAGGCCTAGTTACTAAAATGCAATCAGAAACTTTGTTACAAAAACTTTTATTTTAAAAATAATTTCAAATATTTTTAACGAATTATTTTCACTATTTAAAATTAAATAATTAAAACACAAAGAATCCCTAAAAATTCCAAAGTATTTTTTATTTAAATTTAAAACACCTGAAAAAGCAGCAAATTTAATTAAAATATTTAATCTTTCAGTATCCAAATAAATTTCAATAAGAGAATCAATTCCAGCAGCATCAATATGCGAAATAACAGAACAATCCAAAATTAAAATTCCTTTAATTGTTAATTGTTTTAATGAAAGGGAGGAGGAGGAAGTTGTTGAATTAGCATTTGAATTTATATTTCCAATATTGTTGAGTTCCAAATCTTTTGAAATTGATTTCTAAAAAATTTTATTTTAGCAATTATCCTACCAAAATTCACCTTTTCCTCTCCTGTATCAGAAAATTTATTCAAAATTTTAACATTATCAAAATTTCCAATTGAAGAGGAATTTTCTAAAATTTTTTGACAAATTTCAGCAACAGAATCTACTAATTTTGAAGCATTCCCAAAATGTAAAGGTGCCTCAAATCTCCAAATCTGAGCATTAATTTGAATTCCTGGATCACTCAAAGCTAAGAATTGGATAAATATTCATTAAAATTTTAAGAGAAAATATAACCATTATATAAATTTAATGGACGAAAAACTCCTTCAGCTTCGTTATCTCCACCAATTCTTGAAAATTTTGGCCTATAAAGAAATAAATATAGGTATTATATTTGATTTTAAAGAAGGCTTAGGTAGTCATATCGGAATTGTGGACCTCGAAGGATCCCGAATAATTTATAAGGCTTCAATCATGCTTAAAGCTTAAGAAGAAATAAAAATAGTCACTACCGTACAACCTGTATTAATTGCCCTCCCTCAAATAATTATACAGCGGAAGGTCGAAACAATAATTACCCAGGTAGTTATTAAAGGATAAACGGAGTTAGATACATCAAATTAACTATTTCCTTTTAATAAAAAAATTTATTTTAAAAATAAATAACCATTGTTCTTTAAGTATAATAGACAAAATAGAGAAAAACAAAGAAATAATAAGTCCAAAAGTAATATTAAGAAATGCAGTTGTTGTAAATGCAATTATCCAAATTAACTGAAAAATAATTAATTTTTCCAGTTAAACCAAAGATAATTACAAAATCAAATAAATTAATTTTCCATAATTTTGGTAATTCTTTAAATTGAAGAAAAAGGGGTTTAAGACTAACTACAACAATACAACCAAGTACAGCAATTGGAAGAAGTTCAAGTAAAGGTCCAATCCAAAGAATAACTACAAGGAGTAAAGCGCTAGAAAAAAGTGCATGAAACTGGAAAAATGAAGGGAAAATAAAAAATTATTAAAGTTTTACTTGTGTTTTAGCTCCTGTAATTTCACATAAAGCCGATCTAGAGAGTGAAGCACCAAAAGGAAATACGGGGAATAGAGAAGAAATTAGTGAACACATACTTAGAGCATATAATTCTTGATTAGCATCTAATTTATATTTATGTTTTTTGGAAAAAGTTTTGCCGAGAGAGAAAAGAAAAGCATAACAAATTATTGAAATACTTAGAGAATCTAGCCAAATATGCCGTAAAATTGTAAGACGAGGAATTGAATAATTTGGCATCCTTTAAAAATAAAATTTTGGTTATAAGGTAAGGGGTTGGATATAACTGGTTATTAACCCTAATTAAGAGGCTCCGTTTATTGTTTAGACATATCGTTTATTTAATGCTGTTATTGGTACTTGTGTAGTTCCCCCCCCCCCCCCCATAAGCCCCGCCTATTGTCTAACAAGTACGCCGTTATTTGTTTCATTTAATTTTGCCAAAAAACTTGTTAACGTATACAAGAACGTGTTAGTTAATATTAACGATCTTGTCCAACCCTAGTTAAAATCTCACCCTTGGGGTACATTCTCAACAATTCTAACTCCATAATTCTTTTTCAACCCAACAGTTGCTGAAAGAATTATTGCAGCAATTACCTAAAAAATATTTTAAGAAAAAAAATTCATTTAAAAAACCAAGAAAAGTTCCAAAGGTAAAGGTATTTTAAAACGTTTTCTAAATATTGGATTAATCCAATCACGTCCAATACTTAAAAAAATAAGACCAAAAATAGAAATACAAACAGTAAATATATTTATATTTGAAGCAGAAATGAATAAATCTTTCCACATCTGTGAAGAACACATATTTATTTTCACAAATTAATTTTAGACTCACAAATAAAACTAATCCAGGGCCTCCATAACTTTTAACTTTAACACCAATTAATTTATCCAATTGTGATGTTAATACATGTACTGCGGCACCAGTAGTGAAACCAGAAATGAGAGAATCAGAAATGTAATTAGTTATGAAGGATAAACGAAATATAGCCATTAATATCTTTAAAAAACATTAATATTAATTAATTTAAAGCATATAGCTATTTAATTCCTAAGGCTGTGCAGTAGGCGGCGTGGTGCAATGAAGATGCTGGTTCGCTCCCAGCCGACGAATAACCTTTTGCAAAGGAGAGAAATAGCTATAGCCCAGCTGCTTTACTTTAATAATACCATTAATATCTCAAAATTATACTTAAAGGTTTTAGTGGAAAATATTTAAGTAATACTTCATTATAATAAAAGATACAAAATTGTATTTAAAAATCTGGAGATTTTCTAATATCTTCAATTTAAATTTATTTAAACACCTGAAATATGCCGACCCCAAAAGTTAAAGCACTTATTAAAACTAAAGGTGTTAGGGGTTCTCCTTCAATAATTAAAGCATTTGTATTGTTATTATTCCCATTTTCTGGTATTAATTGTGAACGTAAATTTCCAACCATCATACTAGCCACAGCAAAAGTACCTCAACAAAAATTATTTTTTTATTTTAAAAATTAAAAAAATACCAATAGAAACATGCGGGGAAGTACCAAAAAACATATAAAAGAAGGCAGGAAAAAAGCAGGAATATAATCCATAAACTGGAGGTACTTTAGCTAATGTAGCATATGCCATACCTAATTAATATTGGGAGAGAGAAAATATTTTTTAAATAAAATTTTAACAAAAATTAAAGATTAAGTAATCCACACCCTGTGGGACAACCATAATTCCAACAGTTAATCCGGTAATTAAATCACATTGCAAATATTGCCTCCATTTATAGCTAGGTAACCAACCAAAAATTGGTAAAAGATTAATAAATACTTTTTTAAAATTTTCTTTTTTAAAACATCCGCTTGGAGTTAAATTTTGTAAAAAAGGGTCTAATTTTGAATTTAATTGTTTTTGCTGTTTATTTTTGCTGGATCTAGTTATGTGACCATATTTTTCTTCAAATTCAGCCTATCAAATAAATAAATTAAAGAATTAACGTAGAAAAACTTAAATTGGTGAAAAGAAATGATTAATTTGAATTAATGTTGGACCCTGATCCTTCGGGATCGAATCAGTTGGGGGTCGTCTTTCGGTGTTTAAAATGTCGGGGCCGGGTCTGACAAAATTATTTGGGGTCTGAGTCCCGACTGGTCCAAGTTTATAATATGTACTTTGACATCGGTTGAGGTAATTGTTATGGGTTGGAGATCAATATCGAAGTTAGACGGCTTTATTTTTGGAATTAATTTATAAAAAATATTTTTTAAAATATAATATAAAATAAATTTTTGCATATGTACATGATAGTGATTCTCGGGTATCCCGATCCCAACTCCCGAGATCATTTCCCGACCCGACTCTCGTTTCCTGATTCCCAATTCCCGGGTTTTTTCTTCTTCCGAGCATCACTAGTACTTAATATGTATCACCTGATTCATTATTTTTCAAATTCTGTTTTCATAGAAAAATGTTGATAAGAACAATAAATACTTAAAATAAATATATTTTTTAAATAAAATTTTAGAAAATAATTTAATTGTAATTTGTTAAATACCCATTTTTATATGTTTTTAATTTTAAAAAAGTTCTTCAACCTTTTAATCTTTTACATTTGAAAAATTAAAGTTTTATTTCAATTAAATTTCTGAAGAGAATTTTACTCATCATTAAAATTAAATTGACGAAAAAAAGAATTTATAAATTAAATTGCGTGGTGAAAGGTAGAGGAGAGGAGAGGGGGAGATTTTATGTTATTATTTGACAAAAATAAATTGAGAATTAGAAGAGGGAAAGGAATATTTTTTTGTTTAAAAAAAAGCAAAAAAAGAGGACGAGAACCATCGATTAAAATAAAAATTGCTTAGGCAACTTAAAGCAAATCTATTTTTATTTGTTAAAGCTTCTTCTTTTAATTAAATGTAGCTAATTATTATATTTAATGGTTAAAAAACAAATTTACTTTTTTTTAAATTTTGTTAATTAAAGTAAGGCGTCGGAGGGAGGGGGAGGGGGATTAAGGAGGGGAAGGAATTTCTAAAAAGTTTTTAAAATTTGTGTGTTAATTAAAATTGAAGTGTCAGAATCTCGACTTTGAGTAAAGATATGAGCCTAATTTTTATTTTTTATAATGCCAATATGTTCGAATTTTTGTAATTTTTTCAAATCTAATTTTAGAAATAGTAAATATTCATAAAGTGGTTGTAATTTTGCATAGGTAAAAATGCAAATTTTTGACTAAAATATTTTAAACTAAAAAATCAGCCAAAAATCCATAAATATCTTGTTAATTATTCACTAAAAGTGTATTCAAATATTCAAAAAATTTAAACCACTGCCACTAAAAATTTTTTTCAGAAAAAAGGGGTGGAAAGAAGAAGAGGCACATTTTTTTCTAATATGAGAAATCAGAATCTGATTAATTCAGGTTAAATTATGTAGTTTTTTATTAATTCATTTTAATAAAAAATAAGTAATTGTTTTTAATATTTACTTTTAAAAAATTTTTTGTTCAACAAAAAATAATTAAACAATAATTAAACAAAGATAAGAAAAAAAAGAATTTTTATTTTGTGAATGAAAAGATTCAACAAAAAATAAAAACAAAAAAGATGTTTGATAAATAATTTTAACAAAGAGTTTTTAGAAAAAATAAAAAAATATTTATTTATTTCTTTAATTTTAAAATTTTAAAATAAATTTTTAAATAATTAAAAATGTAATTTTCATGTAAAATTGCATCATAAAAGAAATTTTTATTTCTTTTTAGAAACAAAAAATCTAAAAAAGTAAAATTTTATCAATTTATTTTTAAATTCTTTTTAATACAGTCAGCTACAAAAATATGGAAAAAATATTGTTTTTTAATTTTAAATAACAAAAAAATCTACAAAATTGTGGCCACCGAAAATATATTAAGAGACAATAAAAAAGAGAACAAGACTTAAATAATTATTTTCGAGATTTTGATGCACCGAAAATGAAATTAGGTAGGTGTATCACGGATAAATAGAAATAATTCTATTTTAATAAAAATATTTTGGTGACTATTGTAAATACCTATGTATGTAATAGGTAACTAGGAATCTAAAAAATAAAAAATAACAAAATTAAAAGTTTATTTACTATTAAAAAATTGTTAATTAAATGATCAAAAAATTAAATTAAAAAATTTAATAAATATCATTAGTTATAACAGGAATTTGGCGAATAATAAATATTTTTGTTTACATATTTGAATTTTTAGTGAAAATAAAATTAAAAATTGTTTTGAGTAAATATTTTTAAAAATGAATATTAAATGATTTTGTAATCTTCTGCTTCATTGGTCCCTAGAAAAACTAGAAATATGTTCTTTCGACATTTTTTATGTTGCTAGGTAATCGAATGTGATGAGTCCTAAAGAGCTTAGAATTTTTAATTTCTAACCCCCACCCCCTCCCCCGAATTCGAAACAATTTAAACGGTGTTATAATAAGTCAAGATTTTTTTATTACTAGCGTTTATTTAGTTGATCATAAGTACAGCTTAGTAAAACATTTTTAGAAATTTGGATGTTCTCTTAACCTACCGAATCCTACCGAATCGGTAACCCAAAATTGGAAAAATTAAAAGAAGAGAGCATGGAAAAGTAAGAGAAAAAGACAAAATTAGCTCTCATTTAATACTTTGGCGTTGTGCAAATAAAAGACATTATTGGCACTGAAACTACCCGAATAAACGAAAAAACTTCCCTACATAACGTCCCTTCCCTTGAAAATTTATTTTTGGTTCGCCCTATTTTTTCATTATTATTTTCCCTTTTTTTTTGCTGACTCGTATTCTTTAAAATGTTTAAATTTTTTTGATAATTTTAAGATCATTTATATTGGTTATTTTTTTGTTGACTTTTATTCCTTAAAAATGCGGGAAATAATTACAATAATGACTGGCCAATGCGGGAACCAAATCGGGACAAAGGTATTATGAGTAACTTTTAAATATTTTACGCCTTTCTCTTTTAAGATGTCAGAGTATCAACACTACCAAGATGCGCCAGCTGATAAAGAACGAGTTGTAGTTTATACACCGAAAAAATGGAAACAAACACGTTTAAAGTTTGTTTTTTTTTTTTAAATATCCATTTAAATTTATTGAATTAGTTCATCGGTTGCTGATCCTTTTTTTGCCTCTACTTTTCAACAATTTATCGAAATGAGATTACAATTTCATTCTGGACCCGCTCTACTTAATTTGCGGGGTGGGCCATTTTCTTCTTCTCCGAATATTATGATAAATCAACAGCAACAACAACCAAATCTTCTACTTCGTCAAATTACTCTTGAAGAAGCCAAAGAAAGTCAGAAATTTTGGACTTTTTCTTTAAAGATTATTTTTTCAAAAATATATTTTTCAGATGCTGGAAGTTATCATGATGATGAACATTCAACATTTGGAGTTCAAATGGCAATGAGTGGAGCGAGTATGCCTAACAGAGGTTTATTTAAAATTTTACGACAATACCTGAATTTGAATATAATTTGGTAAATGTAGGCTCTGATTCAACGAGTAGACGTCTAGATTATGACATTACTCCAGTCCGTGGTGGCGGCAGTGAAGATACTTCTGTTAAAGGAAATCGTGACAATAATGAAGAGGTAAAATTTAAGTTTTTGGTAAATTTAAGTTTTGCCTCGTTATAAGATTAAATTTTCTTCGGCCCCAAGGGTGTACATATCATAGCTGGGGCATATCATCTTGTGACTGGCATATCAACTTGGGACCATTTTCTTTCATTTTGGCTAACAATAAGCTCGTTTTTGGGGTCAAAATTTCGATTAAAAAATATTTTTAAGAAATGTGAGGTTTGTGGTGAGCCTGGAGCTGGCAATCATTATAATGCAAAAACATGTGGAGCTTGTGCAATGTTCTTTAGTCGAGCTATTAAGGATAAGAAAAATTTTGATTGCAAGAATTTCAAACCTTGTTCGTTGAGATTTGGTATTATTTATTTGACAATTTTTTTTATATTTTTTAATTTTAAGGGAAGAGTTACTGCAGTTTCTGCCGAGTTTGTATTTTATTTTTAATTTTTTATAAAATTTTGTTTAGCTTGAAAAATGTTTGTCTGTTGGAATGGCATTTGACAGTTGAATTGGACAGGTTGTTTTTATTTTAAAAATTTAAAAGTTAATAAAATTAAAATTTAGCCCCATATTGTGATTGAACAAGAATGTGTACCTAAATTGGGAGAAGAAACTTTGACTTTTTTTATAGACTTTTTTTAAACCAAAAAATATACCTTATATGACTTTAATGTGCAATTACTTCCTAAAATTACGCGTATTATTTTTTTAATTTTATTGGATATAAATAAAATATCAGTGTTTCTCTGTGTTCCTTGATTTCTCCTTGAACTTGATTTCTCCTTGATTTAAGGCTTAGAATCTGGTCAATGCCTTCAATCAAAATCAAGATCAAGGTTTTTATAAATTCCCAATCTCTATGTGATCTTACTATTTGTGACATTTTTAATCAATAAATTATAACATTAATTTGATATTTTTACAAGGAACTATCGTTTACTGTGAATGCGAATTTAACATATTTTTTGGTACCATTCGATAGATAAATTTTTGTAGATAATTGAAACAGATAATGGATCTTTCTTTGGATGAGCCAATTCAAAGTACTGAAGAAATGAAGAAATTTATTTTAACTCGAGGGCAATTGAAACTTTTGGCTACATCAGAACTTCATGTTTTTCGACAAACAGTAATTGGATTTTTTGTTGTGTTAACATTCCTGGCTTACCTTCAAATTATTCTGATCGTATTTTTGTATATTTTTGAATTTTTTATAAAAATTTTTAAAAATTTAAAGATTGACTAAATTATTGATATAATCGAACCTTTGAGTTTTCAACATCTTTGGATTGATCGCCGTTATCGACTGCGCTTTTTGGGTGATTTTGAAATTGAAAATATTGTTAGTTTGAAAGCCAATCATGATAGTGATGTTCGTCAATGGTTTGATTGTATGGAGGCTAAGGTTATTTTTTAATATTTAATTTTGGGTATTTTTTGTTCTTGATTGCTTTACGGTTCCAAAAAATAGTTTTTGTAATTTAGTTGATGCTAAAAGCTAAGGGGTTTGAACTAGTTTTTTATAACAATATTATACATTTTGTTTTTCTGGGTTTACTTCAGTTTTAATGGCTTCAAAATTTTTTTTGGTCAATATTATAAATCTAATATGAAAAAATTGTTGTATATTTTTTTATTTCCTTTTAAGGGCGAAATAATTCCAGCACTTTGTTCGCCAAAAAGCAAATGAGATTAAAACACAATTGGTTGCTCTTTCTGCCCAGCAAACTTTAAAAGAACTTGACAAGCAAAAAATAACTTTTACACGTTCAAATCTGTCACAAATTGCTTTAAATCCTTCAACTCTTCGAAGTTTGTCAAAATTGGGATTTGAAAGATTTCGTCAAGTAGTTGTTGGGTGTTTTGTTTGTATGACAGCAATTCGTAAAAATAAGGTTATATTTTATATTAAGCGGATAACATGATGGAACCTTTTATTTTTTTTCAAAGTTTTTGAAATGGACACTAAAATAGGGATTTTGACTGTCCTCATAACTAGGGTTGGGAAAAACATGCAAATGCATGTTTTGTATTCGGATATGCCTTGATGAGTGAAGCTCAGAAATGATGTTTTTGCATTGGTAACTTTAGGATCCGGTTCCTTTTGCATATTTCGGCTTTTTCGTGAATATTTGCATATCGGTGCTCATTTTGGGGGTTTTTCGGGCATATATATGCGCATATTCGGCGATTTTGCGTGCATATTTTTCCCAGCCCTACTCATAATTTATCCATGGTCTTTATTTGCCTCTAATAATTATTTCATTTTAGCCAAAAGACTGTCAATATCATATTGTTCGAGTTCTTGATTGTGTGGAAGGGCCTCGTAATTACAAAATTAAAAACGTTGCGAGAGTTAATTATCAGTTGGTTTTGCCTTTCTATGGCCGTTATATTATAAATTGGATGAAAAGTTTTTCAGCAGTTACTGAACAAGGATTTCTTAATTGGATTGAAGATATGAAGGCTTGGGTATATTTTTTTAGGAATATATTTTAGGTTGAATAATTTTTCTGTTTACGTCTCTTATGACTTACACGACATAAATAAATTATGTCTAAATTCCCGACTCTTTTAGGATGAAAAATTGCCGACATTGGATGATATTTAAAATAAAGCTGCTGAACTTCAACTTGCTTTGAATGAAGCAGAAAATTTACCTTCAATGATGGATTTGGAAAGAATTCAGAAAGATGAAGAAGAAAAAGCTAAACGTGCTAAATTGCCTGTCAAGTCAGCAAAAGATTTGGAAAATTGATTTGGAAAATTGTTGTATTTTTTTCGTTTGACGTCTTCGGGTGGTTCTGAAACTGGTTTTGAGGTTTTCTTTTTTTAAATTTTTGATTAATTCTTTTTTTAAATTTAATAGCTTGATAAAATTATGAGTGTCAAATTAAACGAGCAAAAAAATAACAGGCCTGCAGATATTGTTTTGGAATTAAAATTTATGGGAACTGTTTCTTTATCTGCACTTATTCGTCTTGTGAGTTCAACAAAAATTAATGAAAAAGAATTTAAAGAATGGGTTAAAAAGAATGTGAATGATGAGGTTATTTTTTATTTTAAATTAAGTCTCCGGTTTGGTTCCTTAGTTTGTTGTTTCTGGTGTTAAATTCTTTAAATGATTCCTGATTTCCTTGAAATTTTCTTTTATGGAAAATTATTTGAACGATCTATTTTTCCCTTTTTAATTTTTTTCTAAAATTTTTTTTAATTTTAGGACGATCCTCTGCCCATAAATGAATTTGTTAGTGAAAAATATGCTGAATTAACAAAAGTATTGGGAATACCTCCACAACCTTACAAATCAGAAGTGTATTGACAACGAAGCCTTGTTTAACATCTGTTCCCGCACTCGTAAATTGACAAATCCTGGCTATGAGGATTTAAATCATTTAGGTTGGTTTAAATTCTTTTTTCTTATATTTTTTTCGCTGAAATTTATTTATAGGATTTCATTTCCTACTAAACATCTAAATATAATCAATTTCAGTTGCTTTGACCATGTCGGGTGTCACCACTTTGCTTCCCAGGCCCTTTGAATGCTGGCCTTCGAAAAATAGTCACCAACCTGGTTCCATATCCACGTCTTCACTTTTTTATGCCTGAATTTGTGCCTCTCCATGCTAAAGGATGTGAGGATTATTATACTCAAATGTCTCCGAATTGGGACATTTGGGGTATAATAATCCTCACAGCCAAAAACATGATGGTCGCTTGTAATCCTCGCGATGGACGCTACCTATCCGTTGCAGCAATTTTCCGTGGTAGCATGCCTACGCGTGTTGTTGAAGATCAAATGTCGTCATATCAAAACAACAATAAATCTTATTTTGCTGAGTGGATACCGCCTCGCTATAAAAAGTCTGCTACTTTTATTGGAAACTCTACTGCTATTAAAGGAATGTTTGAACGAGTATCTGGGCAATTTAAAGGTTTTTATTTTTGAATTTTTCTTACTATTCTGTTTGGCTTTGATAATTTAACTCATAAGGTGGTAAAAAGGAGTTTTATTAGGTTGGATCCGGTGCGATCAAACCTGAACCCTTACCTTTCGTAGCGAAACTTTGCTAAAAATTCAATTTTAAGAAACACTTCAACGTAAGGAATTTTTACATTGGTATACCGGTGAAGGAATGGATGTAGATGAATTTACTGAGGCTGAATATAATGTCAACGATTTGGTTTGTTTTTAAACATATAACTTTTGAATATTTTTGCCTTTCTCTTTTAAGTCTCAGAGTATCAACACTACCAAGATGCGATAGCTGATGAAGATGGAGTTGGAGTTTATACACCGAAAAAATGGAAACAAACACGTTTAAAGTCTTTTTATTTTTAAATATCCATTTAAATCTATTAAATTAGTTCATCTTTGCTGATTCCACTGCCTCTACTTTTCAACAATTTACCGACATGAGATTACAATCTCGTTCTGGACCCGCTTTACTTAATTTGCAGAGTGGGGATATTTAAATATTTTTTTTATCAAAATAGTTCTAATTTATAGGTTCAACAATTCCTTCGTCCACTTCTACTTCCATAACTTCAACTCAAATTGGCAAAGTTCAAGGAGATGCGTCGGAGAAACAGTCGAATTATTAAAAAATTTTACAAATCTTTTTTTTTCTCACAGGTTGCAACAGACGAAAACATCTTTGATGCATCCAGCTTCAGCACCTTTCTATTCTTCTCTTCATCTTCCAATTGGCCATCCACTTCCTGGAGGTACTTTTCAATCTACTGTTCCTGCTAGAATGACGATGTCTACTCAACAGCCATTTTCTTCTGTTTCTCCAAATATTATGATAAATCAACAGCAACAACAACCAAATCTTCCATCTCGTCAAATTACTCTTGAAGAAGCCAAAGAAAGTCAGAAATTTTGGACTTTTTATTTAGAGATTATTTTCCAAAAATATATTTTTCAGATGTTGGAAGTTGTCAACATTTAACACTTGGAGTTCAAATGGCAATGCTTGGAGCGAGTATGCCTAACAGAGGTTTATTTAAAATTTTAAGACAATACCTGAATCTTAATATAATCTGGTAAATGTTTAGTTGGCGATCCTCCCGTCTATTAAGAGAATGCGCATTTTTTCCCTTGAATTTTTGTTTGTCTCGCTCATTTTTCCCTTTTTGGTATAATATGCCTTATCGCTTAGAAATTATATTCAAAGTCATCGCCAACTGGACATTTACCTATAATCTTATCCTTAATTATTCCTTTGGTTTATAGAATATAAACAGTTTATTAATATTTAGGTAGTTTTCTGGTGGGCGAGGTGGGTGTACTTCTGTTGGCCATGCTGGAGGAGCTCGTGATAGTTCTAAGGTGGATGCTGAAGGAGGGAATGGAAGATTTGAAAAGTAAAATTTTTTATTTGAATATTTTTATCTATTATTTTAGGAGAACACTAAGGCGTTCAGCAGGCTCTGATTCAACGAGTAGACGTCTAGATTATGACATTTCTCCAGTCCGTGGTGGCGGCAGTGAAGATACTTCTGTTGAAGGAAATCGTGACAATAATAAATTTTAATATTTTCTTTTAATTTTTAATTGTTAACATTTAATTTTTTCTGAAAATAATTTTTATTTAATTTGTTTTTCTGCTTTTATAAACCCTAAACTTATTAATCGGTACACCTCAATTGAGTCAGGGTGGCCCTTTCCAAAACACTAAAAGGGCGCAGTCACCAAAAATAGGTCGAAATCGGCCAAAAATAGGGCATTATTTAAAAATCTTAAAAATAATTAAAATTTCAATTAAAAAGCTTTATTCTATATATCTTTGTACCCCGAGACCTATCAAATCATATATAATAATCCCTAAAATATTGATCGAGCAAAAAGTTATGGCCAAAAACCTCAAATACTGAATCGGCGATACTGAACCGTCCCCTACCCATCGAGACCCGGTCCTTCTCCTAACTTTTTTGAAGATGCCAGGATGAAACCGGGTTTGGGAAATCCCGGTTCCGGGCCGGGTTTCTTCTGCTAAATTTCCCGTTCCCGATTTTTCCAAAATTCTGCTCTCTAGTTGAAGCTGGTTTTCACACGTGCGTCAACGGGCTGATATTTCTATGCTAGTAAATATTTTCTTTTTTTTATTTTATGGAATGATCCAAAAATAATTTTGACATTTTACTTCAATCAAACTATTTTCTATCAACGTTTTTCTTTTAAAAAATGAGTGGAAAACAGCCACCAAAACAAAGTTTTCATCCAATAAAAAATGAAATAATTGAAAGGTTTGGTTTTTTGTTAATTTTTAAAATATTCTTTTTATTTTTTTAGCGAACCAATTCCCGGTACTTCATCCACAAATTTACAAAATTTGACAGACTTGAGAATTCGTAATTCTTTAAATACAATTTTAATTCAGCCAAATAATCAAGATGTTTTGGCTAGTTCGCAAATGAGACCTCCAAAAGCAGGTTATTTAAATATTTTTCTTTCTAATTTTGAAAAATATTTTTGATAATGGGGTTTGAAATTTGGTTTATATTTTAAGCTAAATAGTCAATTTATGGAAATTGGAGATAGTATAATTCGGTAATTTCAAGTTTTGTGTCCCCCCCCCCCCCCCCCCCCCCCCCCCACTTTTCTTTTTTTTCCTTCCTCATATTTTTAAAATATAAATATGAATGCAGAATTATTTACGCAGAAATTCCCAAATATTTTTAAGTAAGGAAAAAGTGGAGAGGGGCACGATGCTTGGAATTACCGATAATTCTGCTCGGAATTTAATTTCTTTTAAATGTCTAATTTTAATTTAATCTTTGAATAATTCTTTTTTAATTTAGACTTGACTAATTTTTGGTGTTTGGTTTATTATTATGAAATGAATGAACGAGTATGATTTTAATTGTTTTATTTTTCTATGTATTTTTTAAGGTTGGTGAAGTTTTCAAGTCTGAATGGAAACAGGAATTGAATGAAAATCCACAGTTTGTTTAAAAAATTTTTTTAAGTTGGGGTTAACTTGAGAATGTTAATCACCGTAAATGCTCTAATATAAGCCCACCCGAGGAGGTCTATCAAAAAATATAAGCCCAGGACTTATGTTGGAGCATTTACGATAATTAAATAATCTCCTTTTATTATTTTTGACAAGAAAATATTTTATTCATAATTTTAGGCTTATAATTGATGGAGGTGTTTGTGCTTCAGCAGAAAATACTCGTTTTTGTTTGGGTAATTTATTTTCTAATTAAATTCTTAAATTTATTTTTTTAGGTGTTATTGGGAATATTAATAGAAATCCTTTTGTTAGTAAGTAAAAATTAATTTTTCTTTTAATTTTTAAAAATGTTTTTAATTATAGCAAAAGTTGGCCGTTCAATTGGAAAAGGGATTCGATTAAATCAAAAAGATGAAAATATTTATTTGGAATCCCTTAGCGATTCTGCTGTTTTTGTTCGTATGTTTTTTAATTTATTTAGAAAATTTTCTAAAAATTTTAGAATGCCCTCTTTTTGCACGTAAAAATGGTGATGAATTAGCCACTGTTTACAGACTTAAAGCAAGTGATGTTTCTACCTCTTCCTCTAATGGATCGAGTATTTTTTTAAAATTATTTTTAAAGAATTTTTGATTAGTTTTTAACCTAAACTCTTTAAATTTTATTGGAATTAGACTCTTGCTTCGATTTTAGCTATCTCCTTGATTTTTAAGAATACAAAATTATTTTTCCTAATTACATTAGACTTTCTTTTCTCCTAACTAGGGTTGCCAAAATGGTTCGACTCGGACCGAAAGATCGAGTCGGGCCTAAGATTTTTGGCCCGAAAAAGACTCGTACGGACCGACTAGATAAAAACAAGTCCGAAAAAATGCTTCGACCGTCGGCCCGACCTGAAAACGGCAGCCCTACACTTAACTTAACTTTTAATATTTGCTAATTAAAATCTGAATAATTTAAAAATGAATTTAATTTTCCCTTCAGAACCATTTTGCCTTTTTGACATGAAAATGTTTGACACTTTATTAACTGAGGCTCGTTTACTTGGTTATAATGCTTTGTATATGTTACAGGTTTTTTAAATTAAATTTATAATTAATTAAATTATTTATATAGATTTATTGCCTTTGCAGAATTAGTTTTGTTAAAGGTTTTATTTTCTTTAAATAATTTTTTTTGAATCTATTTAAATTTTAGGTTGGGGCCAGGAATATAGACGACAAACAATTAGTTTGTTTTTTTTATTTTTTAAATTATTTTTGATTGGGGTATAAATAGAGATGGGGATTCTGTCGGATTCGAGAATTTTTATTTCATTTTTAAATAGGATCTTATCTTAGGTCCTCAGGATTTGGTGTTTTTCCGGTCATATCCTCTTAAGTGGCAGAATAATTCCCCTATTTTTTTACATTTTCTAATATTTTCCTAAATTCTTATGTAACTAAAAAATATATTCTAATTAATTTTTAGCCTCATGTCCAATGTGGATTGAAGTCCAATTCCCTCGCCCTCTCCAAATTCTAGATGAAGTGCTAATGGAAAATGCTGACGAAATTGGTGGGGAAGAGGTTCACAGTTTCTCTTAAATTTTATTTTTGGATTAAAAAATTAATTAAAGACGAATCACTTTATTTTTAAATTTAAATTTATTTATACCTAAATTTAAAATAAAAATTTTTATTGAAATTAAAATTTAAATAATTTTTTTATTTTATTAAAATAAATTAAAAAAACAAAAAAATAATCAAAATTATAAAAAAGAATCTTCAGAACTTGAATATAAAAATTCTTCTTCTTTTGACTGCCTCCTTTGTACAATACACGAATATATAATTAATCCAATAAAAGCAATAAATAAACTAAATAAAAATACAAAGGGTAATAAAATGCCATAAAAATCGTTGATATTATTAATTTGTTGATAAACCATTGGCCAAATTAATTCTGAAAAAAATTGGGAGAGAATATTTTTCGAGTGTACACCCCAAGGTACCGCAAGGCCAATGTACCGCCGAGCTATAAATTTGTTCAAAATTTCGAATCCGGGATGCCCTGGTATGGTTTGATGCATCTCGACGAGCTGAATCGAACCATATCAGGGCGCCACGAATTCAACCATTTTGAACGAAGTTATAGCTCGGCGGTACCTTGGCCTGCTCCCATTTTTCGAGGACTCAAACATTTAAAATAAAATTAATACCTTAACAAATAGTCTCCATTAACTAAAGTTTATTTAGAAAATCAATTAAAAGAATATTTAAGGAAAGTGAGGGTGAAAAGTTTAAGGAAAGAGAAAAGAATTAAAATTGAACTTAAAATAAATTCTCGTTAAGTTAAAAAAATATATTTTTTAAGGAAGTAAAGTATTAAAACTTTTCTTTTTCATCAAATAAAGAGAAAAAGAAAAAGGAAAGGAAAAAAACTTATAATTATTTTTTACTCTCAATAAATTTTTACATTCGCCGAATTAAATTTTGTTTATAGTCACGTAAGAGGTTTAAGTCAATTTATTTTTATAGTTCCTCCCTCTAAGATAATAAATCATTAGATTAAATTTTTGAATTTATAAAATTAATAAATTTTTCAATATTTTGATATATTTGGAGATTGTTTTGATTTAAATCCTTTTGTAGAGAACCTTTTCTGAACGTATTAAATTTAATGTTAAATTAAAAAATAGACATAATTATATGTATGTAAAAGCTTCCAAATAATTATCAATTAATCGAGAAAATTATTTAAATATATTTCTTTCAATATTTTTTGTAAACAAAAGTTCCCGTTCCAAAAGAACATTGAGAAGTTGAATTAGATGGATGTCTGCCATTACTTCCAGAGAAAGCACTACCATTACCAAGTTCAGGAATGCTTGAATATGAGTCTGGTGTTAATGCTGAATTCTGAAAAGCATAATTTTAGGAAAAAATTTTTTTCGAGTATTTTATGAGAATATATCTATTATTTTATTTAGTTTTGAATATTAAAATTCCCTAGCTAAAATTCTACCTGTAACCATCCAGGAACATAAGCACGTAGAGAAACACTTCCCTCTTTTTCATTATAATTCCAATTAGAAGCAAGTTGCATTAAACAAAACCCAAAAGAAATTGAAGCAAAAAACAATAATAATAAACAACTCCAAGCATTTTCTAAAGGTATTCTATCTCTTCGACAATTTTCTTCTGCCAAAGAAATTCGTTCATTAGCAAAATCTTTTAAAAAATCTGTCAAAATTTCTGATTGTTCTTCCTTTGAAAAAACAGAATTTATATGTTCATTTATTGCCTTTTCTTGTCTGATTTTTTGTTCCATCACACAAACAGCATTATGGCTATGTGAATGAATTAAAAATGTAGCAGATAATGTTATCGTTATTGGAGAACAAATTAATAAAGTTAATCCTGTCCCTATAAGTAAACGACGAACACGTTTGGCACGATTATTTAAACGTTTAGTTGATAAATGCTCCATTGGACTATATCGATGTAAACGTTGATTTATTCCTTTTTTAGATAAGAGAATATTTTTTTGAAATTATAACTAAACAAACCAATTAAAATACCCAAAAGGGATAATAACATTGAACATAAAAATATAAGTAATAAAATTAAAAGAATTAAAAGTGTCCAGCCTGACAAGAAAATTGGCGAGATTAATGAATGGAATTGATATCCAAGTTCTCTAATTACTTCGAACTGAATGAAATTTAAAATTATTTTTTGTAAAAGGATTAAAAAATAATCTAATAAAGATAACTAACATTTTTTGATTCTATTATCAGAAGCATAATTAAGAGTATACCGTTCCCCTTCCTCGAATAATTCCCCTCCCGATTGATTCTCCATGCTAGAGTTGGGTTGAAACAATAATCCCCCCCCCAAATAACCTACTGCACGTTCAAATGCCAAAACTCGAATAATTCCGCATCCCACGTATGGGTTGAAATATTAATTCCCCAGGGGAATTAATCGAGAAAATACGGTAGATAAGGAAAAATTCAAAGGCTTTCTAGTCACAAAAAAATAATTACTTTTTTAAGTGTTTGTCCACCTCCAGGTTCTCCTCCAATTTCTCTTTGTTCTCGTTCGGAAACTTGTGTATTAGCTAATTCCCCTTCTTCTTCCCCAAATACATCCAAAGCTAATTCTTCTGTTAACAAATTTTCTCCCCCCTTTTTATTTATTTGTTGTTGTTCCCCCAAGATAGTTGATTGCATTGCTAAAAGTTCAACCATTGTAGAGGCAAATAAAATACATCCAAATAATAATAAAAGCCATAAAGGGATATGAGCGAATAATAAACAACGAAAGTTTGTTTTGTGTCCCTCTTGTCGTCTTTGATTGATATTGCTACTATTTAATCCAGCTACAGAGAATGAAGCTTTCTACAAGGGAAAGAAAGTTTTTTATTTAAATTTTAGGAATAATTTTTGTATTAAAACAGAGGTGAGTCGGAATTCCGATTTCCGAAAAAAATTTTGATTTCCGATTTCAGACTTTTGAGCCAGTTCCGATTTCCGGTTCTTTCGATCTGACATCTCTGTTCCGACAGAGGTGGCTCTGTGTTAAAAGAAATGTCCTTCTCATTAAATTAAAATTCTGAAGATGTTGATGGTTATTCGAAAGGATTCCGTTCAAATTTTTAATTCCAATTTTACTTTTTTTATTCCAAAATATTTAAAGTTTATTTAAAAAAAACTTGTGTTTTTCCCTTTACTTTGTCTCTCCCCTTTATATCCATTTATTTATCTAAATACCTCATCCAATTTTTGTGTTTGTGTTGTATCAAAAAAGCGACTAAAACGAATACGTGCTAACATTGTAAATAATAAAAGCATGCTTAATACTGTGATAATTAGAAGAATAAGTAAAGTGGACAACAAGTTTGGTTGTGAAGGCAAATACAAATCGAGGAATGTTGGCGATAATAATCCAACAATATTTTGCTTTAAAAAATTTTTTTCGAAGGTATTTAGGGTATTTATTTATTTACCTTATTTTCAATAGAAAGATGAAGTAATTGTTCATCTCTTAGTGGTTGTATTGGAATAAGCTTTTCCTGTATAGGCAAGGCTAAGGCTGAATGCCACCAATTTAAAAGCATTTTTATGGAAAATTTAAATTTATAAATTAAATTCTTAACAAAAATTCAAAAATTAGAAAGATTAATTAATTAAAAAGCGATTGAAATGATTTTGGTTTGGAAGTTTGAATAGGAATTTAAATATTAAAAGGATGTGAATATTTCACTCATATGTACATGTATTTCCTCTAATGAATGCCCGGGCATTCTATTTTTCAATCACCTTCCAAAGGGGCATTCTACTAGAGGGGACATCCCAAAGGAGAAGAGCATTCCAATAAAGGAAATACGGTATATAATTTCGAGTTCCTTTAAGCTTCTAATTATGTAGGTATTCCAGAGACTCAGAAACTTGATCCATTCGAGGTTAAAAATTCTACTTGAGAAAAGTATTTAGGTTGAAAATATTTAACTAAAACAAAAGAAAATATATTTTATTATTGACTAAAATTCTGTATATGAAAGGAAGATGAAACAAAGAATTTGGGTCAACATGCCAATAAACAACAGAACAGAAGGAGGAAATTATTTAGAAACTGACAAGGTGAAGAAGAAGAAATTGCATAAAATGAAGAAAATATATTTTTGTTTTGTTATGGATATATTATTGGATAAATTAGAAGAAAATATTGCGCAAGTCAGTGGTATTGGGGCGTAAAAAAGAGGGGGAAGATGAGCAGAAGAAGATTGAAAATAAATGTAGAAGATAGGAGTAAAATAAGAATTTTAGTAATTTTAGTATCTGATTATAGGGAATTAATTTGTTGAAGAATTAATTTTGTATATTTAAAGATTACCTCATAAATAAAAATTGAAATTTAATTAAATTTATTTTTGATTTAAAAAAACAAAAATATTTCAAGAAGGAGATAGGGGGGAGGGGAAGGGACGGGAGGGGGGGAATAAATGTAAATTTAAAAATCCAGATATGAAAGGTTTGTATGTATAAAAAGATCAACGATTAATTGAATGACTAATGACCAAAGTAGAAATTAAAATAATTAATTAATTTGAGGATTTACAGCGAAGAAAGTTGAAATTGAATAAGTATTAATGTCTTCAGAAATTATCAAAGTCTCTCTAAAACATTGCAAGTTTATTAAGAAATTGAAGTTAAAAATATTTTGGATTAATTTTTTTTATTTAAAATTTTTATTTAAAAAATTCAAATTACTAACCTAATTTTTACTAAAAATTAAAAAAATTTTTTTTGAAATTATTATAAGCAAAAAACTTGATGGAATTAATTTAAAAAAAGAAAGAAAAGTAATCTTAAAACTTGACGCACAAAAAATGAAGAAATGACGAAAAGTAGAAGAAGGATGGGAAAAAAAATAAAGTAGAAGCGATCATGCGCAAGGATAACGCCCAAAGGCATAATTTTAAGAATTTGGTAGGTTATATATATATTTCTCCCATTTTCTTCAATTTTGTTGCGCAAACAAACCGCCAAAGGGAAAATAATTTAGAAAAATACAAAAATATTTCTCTTTTATTTAACAGTTGACCATTGCAAAATTAACGGAGAATTCGTGGGAATAAATAAATATATTTTGATTAAAATATTGTTTTCTTGAAATATAAAATGTTGGAGAAAATAATGATAAAGATAGAAAAATAATGAAAGTTTATATTATCCAGTAAAACTAAATTAAATTAAAGTATAATAAATCAATCCGATTTATTATCCCTCTAAATGCCTCTTGATCCCTCAATATCATGATCAAATTCCGCAATTCTACTAACTATTAGGACAGAAATGTACGGGAAATCTCAATTTTTTGTAACGGAAATCTCAAATGAAATTTGAATGGCCTCTCCAATAGAATAGCCCTTTTTAGGATTATTGAAAAATAGAATGGCGGCCATTCTATTAGAATAAATACGGTGATTACTCACATAAAAGCAAATACAGAAAATGATCAAGATAGACCTTTATTGTAAATATACATTAACCTAAAAATTTGTAATCATAAAATGTTAGCTAATAGGAGATAAAAAATGAGAACATGTTTCTTGAAAGTCTTGGACTTTAATTTAGATAAGTATGTACATCCACATATACCTATTTTTGTTTTCTAGAACGTTAAAACGAGGTTATTTTTTGAGTAAAATTTTTCTGATCTTTAGGAATTTAAATTTATTTTCTTTTTATTTTTTGTTATTCTTTAAAATGTCTAAAATTAGCAGCTGGATGAAAATGGAAAATTAAAGAAAAACGCCGGAAAATCTGGCGAGAGAAATGAAGGATATAAATAAATTGAATACTGGAAAAGGATTTTTGGTGAAAAATAAAAAATTTTTGGTGAAATTGAGGAGAGAAAGTTGAGTAGAAAATGAAAAAAACAGGAAAATATCGTTTATATTTTGATGGAAAATGACAAAAATAAATTTTATAATTGTTTAGGTCAACGCTAAATGCCCTCAACTCAACTTTTTCTTTTTTAAGATTTCACTTTTCTTGATCGTTGCTAGTTAAATAAATAAATTATATTTAAAAAGATGATTGATAGAAATAATTTAAAATGGTAGAAAATAGTATATTAGGTGAGGATTTTTTCAATTGGAGAAAATTAAAATACTTGGAGAAACTTGGAGAAAATTAAAACTCCGTCTTAATGTAAATAGTGCCAGGTTTTTTATCGAACATCTCGGTTCGAGCCCCTAAAACCCTAGTCAGGGCTTTTGTGTGTCCGAACTTTAATAAGATTTGTTAAAACTTGTACATATTTTATAACACAATTTTTAAATATTTTTGAAAAAAATGAAAACTGAAAAATTCTTTCGAACTTTAAAAATCAGCTTAGAGGTATGTTAATCCGAGGCAACCCCTGATATCGATAAAGAAAAATATGCTCTAAAGATAGCTTAGAAAAAAGACTCGACTACGAGGTATTTTTATACATTTATGAACTTGTAAGAAATACTAAAATAAATTACAAAAATATATTTTTAATAATAAAAATTAATTTAAAACAAAATTCCCCCCATTTTGTGTTGTTCTCATTTTCATTTCAATTTCATATTGGTTTTTAGGTTTAATAATAGCACAATTTTGATTGCCATTTAGTTGTTCTGTTTTTAATAAATTAACTTCTGAGGTTATTCCAACTCTACCAAATATTGAGAAATTTGTTCGTCGTAGAAGTTGAAGAAATTGACTTGATGGACTTTCCCTAAGTTAAGAAATTATTATCGTAATTTCTCGATTAATTCCCTTCCCTCGAATAATTCCCCCTCTCGATTCCCCAAGCCCAAATACCCTACTGCACGTTCAAATGCCAAAACTCGAATAATTCCCCTCCCTCGATTAATTCCCCATGCTAAGAAAGGGTTGAAAAAATAATTCCCCAGGGGAATTAATCGAGAAAATACGGTATACATAAATATTACGTTGACGTAAATTATTTTTTTAAATAAAATATTAAACTGACATAGAATATATTTTTTAAATTTTTATTGTTAAGATTATAGTTATTAAAGGTTTGACTTAAAATATAACGGAAATAGTTTTGGCATTAAATAAACTTTAGAATGCGGATATTACAAGAAGAGATAGTGCACCCTCTCTAATTATATACTTGATTAATTTCAAAAAATATTCCTATTCCTTATTGGACATTGTCTATGTAGTGAAAATTCAGTAATATTCCAAAAGTACCTTAATCCGTTCTCCATTTTGCCAGGCCCATCAGAAGGTATTCCACTAGCATTAGAATGATTATTTGTGTCGCTTAGACATGAATGGAATTCATCACGGGGTGTACCAGCAGCACTTGTTTGTGTCCGCTGAACACGGCTAGCCCTATCCCGACTAATTTCTGTGCCTTAAAATTAAAAATTTTTTTTAATAAATTAAATATTTACGAAATCCAAATGTCAAACACAATGCATTTCTAAATTTATTATTCAAAAAACAATAAGTAATTGGATTTGTGCAAGAAGATAAATATGTTAAGACAGTAATAAATGTATTTACTTCTGAATTCCAAATATTGAAAGTCTAGAATAAATTATTTTTAAATTATGATTAAATAGATACTCTCAAAATACCTGAAATGTATCTTGTGCATTAAGTAAAAGCCACCAAATATAGGAAGGTGTCCAACAACAAAAAAATATTACAACAATTACAATTAACATTCTTATCAATCTAAAAATTTAATTTTAAAATAAGCATTATTTATCTATATTTACAATATATTAAAATAAAATCACCTTTGTTTAGCTAATGCCGTTCTTCCAGAATGTGTTGACTTTAATTCAGTAGTTGGATTAATTCTTTTAGTACTACATTCATTCCAATTACGGCCAACAGATGAATTACAAGATTTTTGTGGTCTCATTATCTTTTTCTGATTTAAATCTTTCTTTTTTACCATCCAACTAGAAAGTCTTTAAAAAATATTTTTGAGTATTTTTAATTAAAATAAATTTTATTTTTTCAATAACCCCTTAATAGCAGTGGTCGATCGGAAATGATGAAGGTTTCGGAAATCGGAACTATCGGAAATCAAAAATGGCTACAAAATCGAAACTTGGAAACCAGCTCAAATTTTCGGAAATCGGAATTCCGATCGACCTCTGCTTAATAGCCCCTTTAAATTATATAAACTTAAAATATTTTTTAAATTAAAAATAAATTAACTAGCCTTCCCCTTTTTACATTTTCTCTATTTATTGTAAAATTATTAATTACACCATTACGAAAATTCTTTCGTTTTTCTAAACAAGAATCATTAGAATTCATTAAAGGAGTTGCATTACTACTACCTTAAATTTTAAATAATTATTTAAAAATCAAATAATAATATTTACTTTCTGTACCCGAAATTGCAGCAATATCCATCCTTATACCCGAACTAAGTGTATATATTACATTCCCATATCTTTTTTTTAATTAAAAATTAATAACTTCACAATTATAAAAAACATACAAAACAGTCATAGCAACAAGGGGAACAATTAAAAGGGCTATAGTCATGTAAATTTGATATCCAAAATGAACAATAGGTTCAAATTTTGGGGCACAATTAAGCCCATTAAAATTATAACTTCGTTCTTCATACATAAAAAGCATAAAAACATTGGCAATAACTGAGACTAACCTACAAAAATGTTTTAAATTTTTATTTGAAAATTAAAAGAAAAATGAAAAATTATCTCGTAAACAACACAAAATTTATTTAAAAATTATTTAAAATTAATTTTTGTCTATCTTACTTAAATTTATAAATAAAAAAATAAAAATATTACCAAACTAAACTAATCACAAACATTGCATGAGTTCTTGTATGCCATATTCTTGAATGTAAAGGTCGACATATTGCATAATATCGCTCTAAAGCAATTGCTGCGAGTGTATAAGCAGAAGCTGAATATAGCACGATTAAAGCCAGGGCTTCGATTTCTGCGGATTTTTCCTCATTTTGTGGTTTTTTGATAGGGCGATGAGGATTATTTTTAAAAATGCGGATTTGCGGATTTTTGTGGTCTTTTGAAGATTATGAGGATTTTTTGTATTTTCTTGTAGTTTTCAGGATATAATGTCATTCTTGGCTTCTTGGCCTTCCAAAATCCGCAAAATTTTCGCCTGCGGCGCTGAAAAAGGACGATTTTTGGCTTAAGGATCCTCCAAAATCCGCAAAATTTTCGCCTGCGGCGCTGAAAAAGGACGATTTTTGGCTTAAGGATCCTCCAAAATCCGCAAAATTTTCGCCTGCGGCGCTGAAAAAGGACGATTTTTGGCTTAAGGATCCTCCAAAATCCGCAAAATATTCGCCTGCGGCGCTGAAAAAGGACGATTTTTGGCTTAAGGATCCTCCAAAATCCGCAAAATTTTCGCCTGCGGCGCTGAAAAAGGACGATTTTTGGCTTAAGGATCCTCCAAAATCCGCAAAATTTTCGCCTGCGGCGCTGAAAAAGGACGATTTTTGGCTTAAGGATCCTCCAAAATCCGCAAAATTTTCGCCTGCGGCGCTGAAAAAGGACGATTTTTGGCTTAAGGATCCTCCAAAATCCGCAAAATTTTCGCCTGCGGCGCTGAAAAAGGACGATTTTTGGCTTAAGGATCCTCCAAAATCCGCAAAATTTTCGCCTGCGGCGCAAAAAAAGAAGATTTTTCGAGTAAACAATTCACTATAACTAGGGATGGTGAAAGCATTGGCTCAAATAAGCTGTAATTTTTCATTTAATTATTCGGATTTTAATAAGATAGTCATTAGTAGTGAAAAAATTGCTCAATTCAATTGATGGAGTCAAAAAATATAACGCATAAAGTGATTTTAATTCAATTTTTGTGTTTGAAAATTTTTTGCGGATTTTCCATATCAAATGCGGATTTTTTCGATCAAAATTGAGGATTTTAAAAAATTCGAGATCGAAGCCCTGATTAAAGCTAAGAAGGGGTCCCGGTTCCCGGTTCCGTTTTCCTCAGTTTTTAGAGGTGCCAGGACTAACCTTTATTAGGAATTCCCGGTTTTTTATAAAGTAGGTAGTTTCTTTCTGGTGGAAAAGCTGTATAAGAAAACCGAAAAACGAAGAATACAAATGAGAAGGACAAAAGTATGTTCCCAAACCTTAATTATCCAATCTTTAATATTTAATTTCTAATAAAAATTTAAAACGTTCCTTATTTTTAATCCACCCAATTTATAATCTTTAGTTATTTGTGTGTTATAAATTTAAAATATAAATTATACATATAATAATAACAAATTTAAAATACCTGTCACAACGACGGCTGAAAATAAATAAATGAATAAATATTAAATTAATAAATTTTTTATAAACTTTTTAATTTTATTTGAAAATAAAAACAAAAATCCGTTAACGATTATTTAAAAATTTACAAATATATTTTCTAATTACTTACGTTGGAGATATGCCAAAAGTTTACACAATAAATCACCAAATACCCAACAATAAACTAATGAACTAACTAATGTTGGGGGCATACAAACAACACTTAATAATAAATCACTAAGGGCCAAATTTAGTAAATACAAATTAGTTACAGAACGCATAGATTGTTGCTATTTAGAAGAAAATAAATTTTAAATTTTCATTAAAATAAAAGAAAATTACCTGTAATATAACAACGACGACAATAGAATTTCCAACAACAGAAAGACAAAAAATAATAGCAAATGTCAAAATCATCAAATAATTTTCTAAATTTGGATGGAAGACACAATCCTAAATAAAATTTTTTTATCAAATATTAATTAACTAACGATAATATTTTTCAAAGTTAAAAGATTTAATTAAAGAAAGGAATTTTAGTATATATCGAGAACTTTAAATTAAAGTGTGTAATAGAGATCGAGCTAGGTCTGGACCAAGGCCTGGGTTTTTCCTGTACCCAGAGTCCAGACCCAGGCATTATTTGACCTTCCTGGGTTTTTCCTGGACTAAAGGCACAGGATCCGACCCAGGTCAATAAATCAAACCCGGAGTCCAGGAACAGACCCAGGCTTTTCGAAAATCTCGATCTCTATAGGCCCGCCTAAGATTTTTTAATTTCACAAGGTAACTAGTGAATAAATAAATTTTAAATTTTTACCAAATATTATAAATGTAATTTACAAAAAATTTTTTATTACCTAAATAACACTAGAACCTTATAAAATTTAAAAAATCTTAGGCGGGTATACACAAAGTATTTATTTTTCCCAAATTTGTTTTTTTGTAGCTTAACTATCACTAAAAATTTTTTTCCCCAAATCCCTCGCAACCTACATTTTTTTCTAATTGAAAATTATTTTCAAAAAATAATTGTTGTTGTTGCTGTTTATCTTCAATATCTTCTAAAATATTTGTAGTTAAAGAAGAATAATCTTCTTCTTCAAAAGAAAATATTGTTTCATTCATTATTTGTTGGCTTTTATTATTTAAAATTAAAGGGAAAAAAGAATTGTTAAATAATAAATGTTGTAATTTTGGAAAAGAAATATTATTATTTAAATTAATTAAAGAAGAAGAATTTAAATAAGTAAAGGAGGAAGGAGAAGGAGAGGAGGAAGATCCATTTGCGCTATCAGGCAAAACTAATAAATTTAAAATATTTATTGCTGTATTTGTTAGTAATTCTTTTGCCATTTTATTTTAAATTTAAAAAAAGATCTAAATATATCCTTTATTTTTTAAGAAAAAAAAGTTTTTTAAATAATTGGATAAATAAATAAATAAAATTAAGTTAAAAATAAAAAAAGATTTTATAAGAAATTTTTTTTGGAATATTTTTTATTAAAATCAGTTCAGATGTAACAAATAAATTTATATTAATTTATTTAAAATTTTTATGAATTAAAAATAAATTAGAATAACCCAAGTTTTTAATAATTTTTTAATCTTTAATTTTTTGATAGGGATACTTGGAAATGAACGTCTCTAGCAGGGATGTGATGGATTGAGAAAAAATGTCTGGTTCAGGGTAATCCTCCCACACTTTGCTTCTAGTCTCAGGACTTGAAGTTCAATAATCATTCAAGATGGATATCCCGAATAATTTTAATCTCGATAACTGAAATTTTAGAATGATTAAAAAATATTTGTTTCAACACAAAATTAAAGACAAAATTAATTGGTATATATATAAAATCAATCCAAAAAAACTTTGATGATTATTTTAAAATAAAAGAGAAAAGTGATTTAATTTGTTAATTATTGGTGAAAATATTTGGGAAACAGCTGCTCCACAAAAAGATTTAGGCAAATTGATTTTAACGTGATTTATTGTAAAGAAAAAGAAAGGAAAATTAAATAATTAAATTGTTTTAATTAAATATTTGAGAATTGTTTAAATATATTTAAATTTTTTGAAAATAAAATAAAATAAATTAACAAGAAAAGTCTGAAAAGTCATCACTAAAAATATTCATTTAATTTATTTAAACTTAAAAAGTTTGAAAAAATAAAAACAATAGGAAATAAAAATACGAAAATCACAAATAAATTTAATTTTTAACACGTCTAAAAGTAGTCACAAGGTTTAAATAAAAAAAACAACTAAAGCAGAGCTTTAAAATTAGCAATTTTTGGATTTAAAAATTTATTTAAATTTTTGGACAGAATTTAAAATAAAAATAATTTTTTAGTTTTCATAAAAATACTTGATATTTTATTTGTTTTTTATTTTATTTCTGTTGTAATTTATAGCAGGGATGGATAATTTTGAATTTTAAAAAGTGAAAGATGGAAGGCGGAAGAAAATTATCCCTGATTGATAGCCTTTTGAAAATTCATATTTTGGATTTTATGTAGAAATATTCAAGTCTTTATCAGAGCTGGGCGAAATTGGAATTTTTGTCTCAATGAAACGAAAAATTTTCGCCCAGCTTTGGTCTTTATTTTAAATTATATATCAATATATTTATTTATTTTCTAATTTAATTTTTATTAAAATTTAAATAATTCAAGTTTTAAATGTTAAAAGGGCATTTTTGTTTGTGTAGAAAATAAGCGTTGGCGAGTGGAAATTAAATTTACTTTTTTTTTTCTTTTTGCTGCTTTCCGTACTTACTTGGCGCTAAAAAGTAAAGAGGAAGAAGAAAAATATAAAAAAATTTAATATATAATACATTAAAAATACATAAATTTATTTTAAATAAAAAAAAATATTTTTTTAATTTTTAAAAATTATTTTTGGAAGATTAGTTGAAAAATAAATTTTTAAAAGTTAGATTAATTACTTCCCTAATAAAAAAATATTAAAAAAATAAAAATATAATAATAAGAAAGATTGGAAGATTTCTAAAAAAATAAATATAAAATAAAAAAAGTAAAAATATCTATTTTATATTTATTTTAATTTAAAAAATAATTAAATTTAAAAAATATAAATTTTTATTTGTCTTCTAAATTACCCAATTTTAATTAATTTTTAGTCGCTTGTTAAGGCGCTAAAAGGATATTGGCCCTCAACTGTTTTTTCTTTTATTTTCGTGCAGAAACAAAAGTATTAAGTACATACTTTTGTTATTTTAATTTATTTATTAGAAAAATAAATAAATTAAAGACAAAAACATTTTTTAAAATTAATTTAATATTAAGAAAAAATAAAAATTAAACTTAAAAAACAATTGGGTTTAAAGAAAATAATTAAATAAATAATTTTTAAACACAATTTTCAAATCCAAATTATAAATTTGTTTATTAATCTTTTATGGAATAATTTATTTTAGAAGCTCAAATATAATTTAAAAATTTAAGGAAATATTAATTTTAATTTATTTCCTAAAATCAAAAAGAGCAGTGAATATTTTTTAAAAATAAAAAAAAACAACAAATAAATATATTTGCCAATTTAAAATAAGCAAAACAACAAAAAAAATATTAAATAACCAAACAACAAAATATTTATGTAAATTATTAAATGCGAAAATTGTTTTTATTTATTTCAAAAGAAAATAAATTTTGAAAAAGGCAATAATGTTTTGTGAATTTTTTTGATAAAAATTAGATTTCTATTCCAAATGAGAAAAATCTTTTTTTGATTTTTTTGGTTTGTTTTGTTAGAAAATAATAATTATTTTTATAATTTAATAGGAAAATGATTATTTATTTATAAAAAATAGAAAAAAGGTTATTTTTATTTTTTCTGTCTACAACGTCACTGTCCTATTAGCTTATATGTAAATAAATAAATATATTTAATTGACGATAAAAGGGACTACAAGTATTTTTTTAAATAATTTTTTTAAATTTTAATAAAATTTAGTTCCTTATTATATATATCTAAAAACTGAGTTTAGTATATCCGATTACAGATTATTTTGACAATAAATAACGGCAATGATTAGAAATCAAAACACAAAATTATTCTTCAGAGACAATGTTGGCTTGTGCTTCAGCCTTTAAAAATTGAAGAAAGTAGGGCTATTTTTTGGAGTCAAAAAAATAATAAGCATTCAAACAACAATTATAGTTTGATAATTCTGAATAAAATTATGAATAATGTTTTGTTATACTACGGAGAGCAGACTTTATTGAAGAGTATACTTTAATTCTGGAGGGAATCAGTATTAAATTCACTCTACCAATAAAAATGCCTTCTTTTAAGGCCTTCTTTTACACCCTAAAATTAAATGGACTTAAAATCAACTGAATGGATTGTAAAAAATTTAATTGGGGCTCAGAAAGGTACAAACTAAAAAAGTAATCTTGTTTATATAAGGAGTGTAAATATATAATATTTAATTAAATAATTTTTAAATGAACTACTAATTTAATCTTCTAAAATATTTTTAAAAAATATTGGAACTGAACTTTCATTTAAAATTTTTTTTATTTAATTTTAGAAGGGAAATAAGGGAATTTTAAAAAATAGATTAAGTTTATTTTAAAAATTTTTTATTTAATTATATGAATTTTTTGATATTACTTTACTAATTCTTATAATTGCAATATTTGTAAAAATTTAAATTTAAAGATTTATTCAAAAAATAAATTCTTTTTAAAAATAAACTTTGATTAAAATATCCGGAAAATTTAATTTTTATGATAATCGAATAATATTTATTTAAGTTTAGACGTGAGAAAAAATAAAGAAAAAAATATTTAGTCACGAAATTCTCTCGAAATAAATAAAGAAATATGTATGTAATATTGAACCTTTTTAGTTAATTGAATATTTAAATAGAAAATATTTGGTATATTTTATTTATAATGAAAGAAATACTTTTAAATAAGAAAAATAAAATCCGGAAATAAAACACATTAGTAATTTAGATGAAAAATGTTATTTTGAAATAAAATTATGTTTAATAGTAAAACAAACATAGGCATTTATTATTTATCTCAATTAATGAACTATGATTTATGTGGATGTAATATGTAGGGTAAAATAACATTGCTGCTTTCTGACTTGTATTATTTAAAAAACTACAAGAAAATATAACAAATCCTCATTATCTTCAAAAGAACACAAAAATCTGTTAATATTTAATCCCTGATGTACCTCATGCACCAATCTAGTTCGGGAGCGAGTTCTGGGATAAATTTATATTTAAAAATCAATTTTGAATTTAGTTTGACGTTAAAAATATGTTTATATTTTTATATTAAAATATAAATATTATTCGGATTTGTTATTAATTTCTAGACTTTTTTAAAAAATATAGAAATATGTATTTAAAGGTTAAATTCTTTAGGGAGATTTAAATATATTTTATTTTAAAAATATTATTATTTTTAAATAAAAGATTAAGAAAAGAAAAATAATGAAGAATTTGTTTTCACTTAAAGATTTTAAAAAATTTTATATAAAAATAAAAAATAAATATAGTAATAAATTCTATAAAAATAATGATTCCCATAAACAGATTAGATTTTCGGTTATGGAGACTGATGTTGGTTTGACAAATATGGATACCATAGACAATATGGATATCGAAATAATATAATGTCTCTTTCTCAAATAATTACTCCCTCCCTTTTAATTACCCCCCTCGGTGAGTGGTTAAAACAATAATTACCCTGGATAATTATTTTAGCAAATATGGCAAATAAATTCAAATAAATTTTGTCAGAGAAATTCAATAATTATATAAAAATGAAGTAAAAAAAAGAATATTAGTAATTAGTATTTATTTATAAAATAAATGTTTTTGAGAAAAAATTTTTTTAGAAATTAAAACAAAAAAATAAAAAGAAAAAATATTATTAATTTATTATTATTTTTAAAGCAAAAAAAGCAAAAATATTTTAACATTTTTATTTTTTGCTTGAAATATTTTCCAAAGTTTTTTTTATTCTTTATATTCAATTAAGCATAAAAATAAATAAAAAAAATTTTCTTTTTGACATTTTAATTTTTTAGAAAAAAAATTTTAAATAATTAAATTATTAGTAAATGTCATAAAATAAAATGAACAGAATTCGCGTGGGTTGTTAACTTTAAAATAATTATTAAACAAATTTATTTTTATTATTTAAATAAAATTAAAATATATAATTCATTATATTCTTTAATAAAACTTTTTTAAGAAGAAATGTTACTTTTAAATAATTAAATAAAATTAAATTTTTTTTCAAAAATTTCTGATGAAAAATGTCAAAAATTCATTTAAAATGTACGATTTGTTTCAATTATTTAATAAGTTATTTGGTACAAAAGAGAAAATAAATTTATGTATAATAATTTTTAGACTTGTATGTAAAGGGGAAAAAGCTTTTGTTTAATTAACATTTTAAAATATTTGTAGTAACATTTTTTTAAAGATCGAAATCTTCTTAAATAAGCATAGTCTAGTTTAAAAGAGCGTTGTGCCCCGAACGTTCAGGGGCGGTTGTGTCGGGGTACGGGGAACTGGGTCGGGGCGCAACTCTATTTAAAAGAGAGGGTAAAAGTATTGAAATTAATAATTTCTTTGAAAAATTAAACCTTGGTAGCATTGTAGGAAAAAATCCAAATAAAGTCTCAGATTCCTCGACTTTCGGGGTAATTTTTCAATAAATAAGGAATAATCTTTTAGTAATAAATTCCTAATTATTTAAAATAAAAATTGTAAAATTAAAATAAATTATATCTATTTTTCCTTTTGTTATCTTTTAATGTTTGGATTCTTGCCTTTGGCACAAAATTTTAATTTGCATTAATGCACATGAAACACTAAATATGGTTATTTTACTAAAAATAAAAAACACAAAGAATTTGGATGGAAATATTTTGAAAAAATAATTGGAAATTAATAAAGAAATTTAAATAATTTCTTAACTAGGTATGTATACATACTTTTTAATTTAAATTATTTTATTTAGATTCACATTTGAAAATTACAGTTATTATTGTTAAATTCAATTATGTTTTTTTAGTATGTATATATTTAGCTAAAAATATATACATACTATTTAACGTTTTTATTAAAATATTCTTCATTTTTTTTTGAGTAAACCAGTTGAAGAATCAAAATCTTATTAAAACACATATCGGAATTCTAGTTAAATTTACAAAAGAACTTTAATTAAATTTTAAATTTTTGAGGGAAATTTTATTGACAATTAATTCGCTATAAAATTAGACAAATTAAATTTAATTAAAATAAAAACATTATTTTTATATTTCGACAGACATTTTATGTATAAAAAATTTGGCAACTTTTTTAAAAAATAAAATAAAAAAAGTTTTATTTTTATTTTATTTTCTTCATCCAATTTTCAATTAAATAAAATCCAAAGCTTCTTACGCAATCCATCAATTTTATATACACAATTGCCCCAAGAGAGAACAAAAAAATATATTTTATATAGATCAAAAATTGAATTAATTCTTTAAAAAATATTTTTATTTTAAAAAAGTTTTTTATTAGTATATTTTTAAATGTGGGGAAATAAATTGACTTTAATTTAAAATTAATTTAAATTAAAAATAATATTTAATTATGGAAAAAGTGGAGAAGATTATTTTGTTAAATAATTAATAAAATTTTGTAAAACTAAAAAATAAAATTAAAAAATAAGGTCTTAAAAATAAAAGACAACAAATGAGTTTTTACTTTAATTCTAATTGTTTGGAACCAAGTTCATATTGTAAATATATATCAGCTGTGTCGTTGATAGTTGTCAACTGGGGGATTTATTTCTGGAAATATTGCAATTAAAATAATTGTAAAAGAATAATTTAATTTTTAAATTTATTTTGAAAAAAATTGATCAAAAATATTGCAAAATTATAGAGAATCCGGAATGTAATTTCCATTTTTTGATGATAAAAAATTAAATCATTTACCTAACTACTAGCATTCAACTATTTAATTTTCTCTCTCTTTTAATTATCAATTTCCACAAAAAGCCTCTCTCTTTATTTAACTAATTTTTTAATATACTTTTATCTAAAAAATTTTTATATAAAATTCTTTTAAAATATTACCTTTTCCAAATAACTTCTCAAATAATTTTTAGAAATGAATTTAATACAAAAATTTATTTTATTTTTATTTATTTTTAATTTAAAAATTAATTGCTTTAATAAATTTTTTAAAACAAAAAATTTAAATAAAATAAATAATCTTCCCGGTTTAGAATCTGAAATTAATTTTAATCATTATTCTGGTTAGTTTTGAAATAAAAAAATTAATTTAAAATTTTTTAAAGGTTATTTACAAGTCTCAAATTATCATTTTTTACATTACTGGTTTGTTGAATCACAAAATGACCCAGAAAATGATCCAATTGTTTTTAAATATTTTTCAAATTTAAATTTAATTTTTAAAAAAGATTTTTTGGTTTAATGGAGGTCCAGGCTGTTCCTCTATGGACGGATTACTTAAAGAAATGGGCCCCTATTTAGTTAATCCAGATGGGCGTTCTTTAAGGTTAAATAAATATTCTTGGAATAAAAATGCTTCTGTTGTTTATATTGAATCTCCAGTAGGTGTTGGGTATTCTTATTCTGAAGCTTGGTCTTTAATTGAAATTGATGATGAACAAGTAGAGATTTGGGAATTGAATTTAAAAAAATATTTTTTTAAAGACAGCCAAAGAGAATTATGAAGCAGTTAAACAATTCTTTGAATTATACCCTTCATTTCGAAATAATTATCTATTTATAAGCGGTGAGTCTTATGCTGGTGTCTATGTTCCTTCACTTTGTGCTTTAATTGTTGATGGACAAAAAGAATATCCACTTAAATTAACTGTTAATTATTGGAGAATTTAAATTAGAAAAAAATATTTTTTTCTAGGGAATGATGATTGGAAATGGGTATATGAATGCTAGATTAGATATAGATACAACTATTAAATTTGCATATGCACACGGTTTAGTTGATGAAAAATTATGGCAATTAATGAGAGAAGAATGCTGTAATGGATGTTTTGGTAATTGCTTTTTGAATTTAAATTCTTTTTATAAATTATTTGGATAGATGGATGTGATTTAAGTATGATGTCAAATTATTTTTGTCAAAATAAGGTAAATATTTTTTAAATTAATTTGTTGGATTGAGAAAATAATTTATTTATTTTGTTTAATTATTTAATAGAAAATTAAGCAAAATCTAATGTTTAATGACGGGTCAAACCCTTAGATTAGGAATCTCTTCTTATCCTGGATTATCGAATTAAATATAAATAAAAAATTCTCGCCTTCTCTCAACTTCAAATTATTTAATTTTGTTTAATTATGTAAGGATGATTCACCTTTAAAACGCTTAGGTGGGGGTTAAACGATCTATAAGGATAAAAGAGAAAGCATTAGTCGATGCCCCGGTAGCTCACATCACTGGTAGCTCACCTTCATTTGTGTGAGCAAGACCGAGTGAGCACTGTCAACGTCCTGCCCGGTGGCTAAATAAACTATTAAAATTTACTTTCTAATATTTAAAAGGTCGAAGAAATTTTTGAATTTGTTTGGCTAGGTGGATTGAATCCATATGATTTATATAGAGATTGTGGTATGTTAAAGTTTTTGTTTCTAAAATTTTGTTTAATTTAGATTCATTCTCTCCTTTAAATTCACCAAAAATGCATGCAATTAGACGTGGTTTACTTCCGACAAAAATAAATGAGAGAATTGTAGCGAAAAGTATTTTGAACCGTAATACTCGAAGTGCTCGATTTATTAATGTAATTAAATAATTATTAAATTAAAATTCAAGATAGTAGACTTCCTTGCAATTATATATCCTTCAACCTTAAAAAGTATAACCTGGGAATTAAAATCCGAATACTTTTTGCTTAAATTTAGATTCTTTTTTAAGTTTTTTATTAAATAAAAGTTACAATTTAGAAGGATGATTTAAATAATGTAACAGAAGTCAGTTCTAATGTTGCTACAGATCCAGGAATTCCTTGTTTAGATGGTAAGTTAAATTGGTATATTCGGTTATTTTAATAATACTTTATTTTTTTATATATTTCTTTAGAATTTTTTAATTGAAAGATCAAAAATAGAATTATTTTCAGATTCTGATGCAACAAGATATATGAATTTGAAGGAAGGTTAGAATAAATATTAGAATAAAATTAGTAATATTTTTTATATTTTCGAATTTTACAAACATTTATTAAAATATTTATTAGTTCGGCAAGCACTTAACATTCCTTCACATTTGGGTAATTGGTCAATATGCAATGAGGATGTTAGCAATAATTATAATCAAATATATTGTATTATATATAATTTTTAAATAATTTTTAAAGAATTAATTTAAAGCCGATATGTCCCCATTTGTTAAAAAAGTATTGGGAGCTAAAGTTAAAACACTTTTGTATTATGGAGATACAGATATGGCTTGTAATTTCCTTTTGGGCCAACAATTTGCCTCACAACTTGGATATAGGGTAATCAAAAATAATTTTTTGAATTTTGGTTGCCGTCGGAATTTTATTCACCGAGACAAGAAAATAAATTCAAAAATTCAAAATTAACTTGAGAGCAGACATCCAGTTAGTCTGAGATAATGCCTGGGTTGATTCGTTTATAGTATTCGACAAGTATTTGGAAAATCTATGGGGTATTTTAGTTCCCGGTCAACAAAATTCCGACAATGACTAAAATTTAGTATTAAGTATATAATTAGGTAATAATGGACGCAAAACCGTGGAGAGTTGATGGACAGATTGCCGGATTTAAAACAAAATATACAAATGGATTAACCTTTATTACAAGTTTTTAAATAATTTTATTCTTATTTTTTAAAATTTTTAAATTTAAAGTTCGAGGCGCTGGACATATGGTTAAATTTAAATAAATATACCTATTCCAATTCGTTTATTTTAAAAATATTTTTATTTTTAAAGGTACCGGAATGGAGAGCCCCTCAAATATTTTACGCGATACAAAATTTTTTAAATTATGGGGAAGTTTAAATTAATTAAAAATTGTTCTTTTTAATTTAAAAATTGTTGTTAAAAATAGTTAAAATATTATATTTTTTATTTTTTTTCAAAAAAATATATAAATTCTAATTAATTATCAAAAATTACATATTTGCTTTTTTAAGCATTACCGAAGGCATTAATTTTGATTTTTCATTTGTAGGCTTAAAATAAAATTGAAATTAATTTTTTAAATTAAAGAATACTTTCATTTCTGTAAATTCCAAATGCTCGATATTTGAAGAAATCTGAAAAATTAATTAATTAATTTGTTTTTAATTTTTAATAATTTAATAAAGTTTAAATAATGCTAGCATATAATTCACAATTTAGGATATTTTTAAAATTTATTTATCAATTAATAGAGAAATTGTTTAAGATAGTATGTGAGGTACCCCCCCCCCTCATTTTAAGCTAAAATATGTTGACCAAGTTGATATCTAAAAGGTTAGAAGCATATTAAAAAATATATTACCCTTGTTGTAAACTCGTAATCTTCAGGCACATCAAAGAAATTATCGTCACAATAAACTTTAGAATCAGGAACGTGTGTAAGCCAATTAAGTTTTAGAATTAGACCTGAAAAATAAATATAAATTTTAAAAAAATAATTAATACCAGTAATTGCCCCAACAACTCCAGCTAACAAAAGGGTTACGACAAGCCCACAAAGTTGGTAAAGTGCTTGTTGGGATTGACTTCGTCCAGATTGAATAATTCTTGAACTAAACAGATATAAAAAATATTTTCTCATAATTAATTTGCCTTTCCGGATAAGATCCATCTTTGTAGCAAAGAAGGACTATTGCACTAGCCAATACTCCAATTATTCCTATAAATTTCAAATAAATAATTATTTTAATTCAAAAATACCGGGCATTGCGTGTAAATTATTTACACCCCTTGTGTCGCTAAATCCGCATTTCTTTTCGAGAATTGGCTAAAATTAATATCCAAAAATTTAATATTTTAAAATTAATTACAGAAATAAATATATATCCAAAAACAGCAACAGCCCCACTAACAACCCCTATAGCTAAAGCATCAAAAGGTGCCAAAAGAATATTGGCACAAGCACCTAAAGCAACTCCACCCGCTAATGGAGCATTAACCAAATGGCGAACATTGAAATTCTTAAAAATAAATTAAAATTAAAATTAGAGGGAAATTGTGGAATAATTCCGAAGAAAGTTTTGAAAATAATTTAATTTTATGTAGATATTACCTCTTTTTTGTTGTAAAAAGAGGAAACAACAAAAGCAGTAATTGTACTACCAATTAAAGCTGTATATGTATTTACAATTGAACGATTACGGGCATCTGCTCCAAATGCATTTGCAGCATTGAAAGAAGGCCAAAACACCCAAAGAAAGCCGGTAGCTAATTTTGAAATAATTTTAATTAAATTTTTGGGTAGAAATATAATAGAAAAATTAAAATAATATTAGCAACTTCGAGTTAACAATAATTTAAAAAATAATTCTCTAATTAATTATATAAAAGGGATGGGACAGGTTGAGAATAAAGTCGGGTCGGGTTTTCAAAATTTTCTTCGGACCGGAGTTCGGGTAACCCGTCCCATCCCTGTTGTATACTTACCAACAAAAGTAAATATATCAGAATGATAAACACTCCCCAAATGTTCGCTGTCTCTCCATGTTTTAGTAAAAAGTACTCGACCAGCAATTAATCCAAAAACGGCACCAAAAACGTGAATAATCATTGAACTTAAATGAGAGAGATTTCTTATAAATATTCCAATTTACCCTCCCAAATCTTGAACTCCAAGTATTTTGACAACAATATATTCGTTAAAGATCTGTCAAGAATTAAGAAATTCTCAAAAATATTTTTTAGAAAAATTACAGAAAATGGGGCTTCAATTAAGGCCATAAGCAAATATTGCATTGGAGACAATTTACCACATAAAGCTCCAAAAGAGATTAATACAACTGCAGCTGTGTAGTCAGCATTAATTAAACTAGTAATTAAAAGTTACAATTATCCAGAATTTTTAGTTTAAAAATTAATAAAAAATTAATTTTTGAATATTCTCACTTTTGTAGATTAACATAAAATTTTCCATAGAGGGCAAATTCATCTGTTAAGAACCCTCGAACAAGTAGCTAAAATAATTATTTTTTAAAGAATTTTTATTGTTTATAATTTTTTAATTTAAAAACCAACAGCTAATTCTAATGTAAAAGCTGTTAACATCATTGACATTGTAAAAGATCCAAATCCATATCGACGAACAAAAACAACCAAAAATCCAAACCCAACAAGAAGTATTGAATGAACATCTTGAAAATCTTCAAAAAAAATTTCAAAATTATTTTAGAAAATAATTAAGAAATAAAAGATAAAATTTAATTAACGTATTTTATTGAATAATTATCCTTGGTAATTTATTCTTTTAACCTCTCAATAAATGGGATTATTATTCAAAGGAGAGAAATTATTCGAGTTCTGAAATTTGGAACGTTTTGTAGGGCAGCTGAATGAGGGTGATTGTCTTCTCAACATCTCAATAGAGTTAGTTATTAGAAGAAGGGTAATTATTAGAGAGAGGGGATAACTATTCGAGAGAAGAGCAATTAACGATAAAATATGGCAATTAAATACAAATTCAATTTTTAAAATAAAGAACAAACCAGTTAATTTTTTCTGTGATTCTTGTATCAAAACAGAACCGATTGGAACTGATGATGGAAGGGCATTAGGATCGTGTTGTGAAAAAAGAGCAAATAAAACTAAGAAAAATAATTGGGCAATTCCAAGTAAAACACAAAATTGGTTGTGTGGAAGTTTAACTGTGGCCTAATAAATATGTCAAATATTAAAAATCTACTAAATTATTAACTCCCAAAATATTAAAGTATATCACAGAGATTAATTTTTTATTTTATTTTTATTAAAAGAATAACATTTTAAATTATTAATTATTTTTAAAAAAATAATTAAATAGTAAAATTAAATTTATTTTTAATTTTTCTACCATCAAAAGCAAAACAAGCAAAAACATAGCCGGAGAGACTAAAATAAGCCCCTCAGTGAGATATGTAGAAAATGTTGCTTTCATTGTTTTTATTTAATTTTCAGGGATTCATTGTTAATTATATAATTTTTAGGAATTAATTTTAAAAATAAAATTATCTAAAATTCATTTATCTATAAATTAAAGCAATAAAGCAAAATTTTGAAAAAGAGAAAAATTCCCCAAGCTTGTAAAGAATTTTTGTGTTTTAAACAACTCCAACAACTTCTCAAAAAAGATAAATTTTAATTTTTGGGCTTTTTTAAATTTGTAAATAAAAAATAAATTAATTAAAAAATAGCCAAAGAATGTTAAACTATCAGTGATTTACCTAAACTGGTTCAAATAAATAAAAAAAATAATTTTTTGATGTGAGTAAAGTATGCGAATTGGAATAAAATATTTTTGTATTTTATTTCAATTTTTATAAAAACAATTAATCGCCAAATATATATAGGTGGTTAATGTTAAAAAAGAGCAAAAACAAGATTTAATAAAAAAAAAGGAAATATTTTGGATGTTTTATTAAATTGTTTACAATGTCACTCACTCACACATGCATGTTATCGAGAATATTAGTTGAAGGAGGGAGGGAAGGGAGGGGAAATCAAAGGGAAGTTGACGGAAATGTTACCCCCAAAATGTCAACATTTTTATTTACAGCCGAAAAAGTGTTTTTCTACTTTCCCTTTGAGAATTGTGATATTTTGGATTCGCAAATAAAGTGTGAAAGGACGTGTGTGACTATTTATTGATTCCTTCCTTTAGCGGTTGTTTTTAGTATTTCGCGTGTAGATCAAAGGAAGAATAAATTGAGAAATTAAATAAATAACCAAAATATCAAATTTTGTGATTCACAAAAGGTAAACAGAGACACTTTTGCCTATCTTAAAAGCTTTAATCAAGAGTAGAATAATAAATATATGTACTCTTTATAATTTCTCGAAAATATTTACTCTCTTACATATCTCGATAGAAAATTGCGTTAAAAGTTTTCAACTTCGCCTGCATCATTGAAAAATTACAGTACATTTATCAGATATAATGCTCTTATCGATATAAGGGTCCCTCGGATAGGGTTGGCGGATCCAGATAGATTTTCGGTTCTGATATCGCATCTGGATATCTCAAGATTTCTAACTATCTGACAACCTTACCCTTGAACACAAATCCCTTCCATAATAATATCCGATTGGTGTAAGCTTATTCAACTGTATAAAACTAGCAAAATTTATTTTACAGATAAATAAATACTTAACAGGTTTGTACATAGTAAATATTTAAATACAGGGTGCGGCAAATTTTCCGCCCCTTTTGTTTTTGTCATAACTTTTTTCAATTTCAATGAAAATTGATAATTCTTTTTTTATTTTATTCCCAACACTCTAAGAAACTTTTTGATACCCAAAATTAGAAATTTGGTTTACAGATAATAAAGATATGCCCGAAAATGTCTATAAATTGCATCAAGAAATATTTTTTCATGACAAAGTTTACTTTGCCATAACTCCGCTCAAAGTCACCCAATCTGACTAATTTTGGTACCAATCGACTTGTCTCGACGAGGAGCATCGAAATAGTCTATAATTAGATTTTTGAAAATTTCACCTAAAAAAGTCATTATTTCCTAATTTATCATTCAAAGGCCCATATCTCAGCTCAAGAACAAGATAATCGCTTTGTTTTGACGTCATTCGAATCAGCTTAAAGAGCTTATTCGAATGAAATAAACTTCCCTCATATCAGACAGCCTGCATTTAAATCAGACGACTTTTGGTCCAAAAAATTTTGCCAAAAGTTTAAGACAAAATAATCAAAGTAATTTTGAAAATTTTGAGAATATTTTGGTACCAAAAATTTTCTTAGAGTGTTGGGAATAAAATAAAAAAAGAATTATCAATTTTCATTGACTTTGAAAAAAGTTATGGCAAAAACAAAAGGGGCGGAAAATTTGCCGCACCCTGTATAATCATTCATTTTCTTTATTTATCAGAGGAATCTGCAACGATGGCTGAAGTGAGGAGGAAGGTTTGAATATTGCTGAGGAAACAGATTTTGGTATTATTCCAAATGCCATTTTCTTTAAATTCTCAACTTTTGCTTTAATTGGATTAATTTCCTCGAAGACTGCTAAAATAATAATTTATTTTATATTTAATTAAAAAATTAGGGTATACTATTTATGTACCTTCACTAAATTCGTGAGCATTTTCATAACATTCTTCCCATCCTCCCCATTTAGGGAAAATAATTAAATATTCTCCAGAAATTATTAAACTATGGACAGATTTATCTTCAAAAATTTTATTATCTTTTTTAACTTGTAAATTATAAATTTGACTATATCCGTTATTTTTAATTAAACGGATGGAACATTTGTTTTGTTTATCCACAATTTCATATCTTGACAACTAAATTTAGATAAATTTATTTAAATTAATTTAGAAGAAATATTTTAAAGGTAAAAAGGTAAAATGATCTGCTTGGAAATTTTGATTTTTACTCGAACTCCTCGTATCTTCTAGCACCTACATGTTTGCCTAGTTTTATGTTCTAGGGTCCGGTCTAACCTAGTGACTAACAGAATAACACAAGTATATGTAGAATAACACGTTTATCCGAATAGTAAATAGGTACAAGAATAACGAAGGTGGCAAAAGGCAAGGATGACTAAGGACAGGCGAGAGAGATCTTTACTGACCGAGACTGATCTCTACTAACTCCTTTTGTACTAGACCTCGTACTCGTACCTCTGCCAAATACGAGTACAAATTTTAATACTTTTTTCCAAGCACTGATAAAATGTTAATTATTTTCTGTTTTCATAATTTTAAAAATTAATAAATTTCTTACATTTTCGTAAACTTCTTCTAAAAAATTAATTTTTGAAATATTTTTGCATAAACTTCCTTTCAATATATTTAAATGATATATTCTAGAATTTTCAACATTAATTAAATAATAATTTTTAAATAAATAAATATCAACATTTTCTACTTCCTTTCCATTTTCTAAAAATATACATTCATCTCCATTTAATTTAATTACCAAATTATTTTGAAATTTTGACAAAATATTATTTGAAAAATAAATTAAAATTATTAAAATAATATTTTTTATAAATTTCATTTTTTGGTTGTTTTAATTAAAATAAATAATTTTTTAATTAATTAAACATTTATATATAATAAAATTTATTTTTAAATTTTCGGAAGGAAATTAAGTGCATTCATAAGATAAAAATTTTTTAAAAAGGAAAAAATTTCTAAATTTTAATTTTAAATGTTTTATTGAGTGCACTTTTAATAAATGTATTTCCTTTTTTTTATAAATAAATTAATTTTTAAAAAGTTCTAGCATGACCGGATATTGGAGTGCATATGGAGTGCATTTGTGTTCTACAAAACTGAAGTTCCCAAATAAATAATAGGTGGAATAAATCTTGAATATAACACGATTCTATCAACAAAAAGATACATCTCCAGCAATGAAAAGCGATTTAAATGTAACTTATGTAAACTAAACTGATTATTTCTCAAGGATGAATTCTTTCTAGATTATGAGATGAAAACTATCTTGTAGCAAATTTAAAGAGCTTTCAAATAAGCCCAAAATAAAATTTTTAATTCACCTGTAAGGGGCCGAAAATATTTTTTAGAGGCGTCTACCCCCGGTTTTCCGTTGATTTTCGGGTTTCAAGATCTCGATGATGGGGGTGCATCAGAACTTCATTTCTTTTGTATTTATCTATATTAATAGATATGTTCACAAAAATTTTTGTGGATTTTTCCTACTATTAAAAACCTATAAAACAAAGGTGTCTTGTAGCAAATTTCAAGGGTTTTCGATTAAAGTGTTCCATAACCTTATAATTATGGAACACTTTAAATTTATTTTTTTGGTTATAGAAATTTTTTAAAGTTGCTATAAATTTGATTTATTTAAGACATTTTAAATAGAAAAATATAACTAAAAATTTCAAAGAATTTTGACACTTCTCAATAAGATATGATAAAAAATAGGGTGACCTTATTATTTTGGAACAGAGTATAGTAAAAATATTTAACGAATTGTTCTAAATAAAATTATTAAATATAATTTATTAAATAAAAATTTAAATTATTAATATACAAATAATTTGTTTTTTAATTATAATATATCCATTGTCTAACGATTCTGGTTCATAATCCTCAAAAGAATCCTCTTCAGAACAAGATTCTTCTTCTTTATTTTCATTCTCAAAAATTGATATTTTAATGTTATTTGGTTTGTTATTTTTAATTTTTCTTTTAAAAGAATATATTTCTGGCTTTAAAAGAAAATATAAAGTATAATTTTAAGTAATAAATTTTTATTTTTAAATTTTAAATTAAAATATTTGTATCTCTCGCATCTCTACCTCCTACTAGATTCCGAATTATTTATCCTAATATTATTAAATCAGTCCTATCTCGATATCACGCCTTCCATATCACGTCCCCTCCTTCAATACTCGATTTCAAAGGTGACGTCTTAACGAGTTTAGACTTTACTTATATATAAATTTTAAAATAATTACATACATCTATTCCATATTTTTCCCCATTCCATATTCCAGATATTTGTATTTCTATAATTAATTCATTTTCCCTTTCAGTTTCCATCATTTTATTTTTACCTTTAACATCAACTACTTTTTCCTCAAAAATATTTTCAACTTCTTCTTTGAGTTTCTTAGATTGTGAAGAGGAAGACTCCAATAATTTATTTTTATTTTGCATTTTTCCCCAACTTTTTGGAAATTTATTTAAAATAAATACATCACTTTCCTCATCTATTCCCTCTAAATTTATCATTGCAATTTCATTTTTGCACGATTTCCAACAAATATCTACTTCGAAACGTTCAGATGTTTTAAGGTTAATTAAATTTTTATATCCCTTAACCTCCTTCCAATCACCTATAATTGAAATTGCCAACCGAAATTTAGATTCATTTGTTAATTTTGATTTAATTGTAGTTAAAGAAATAATAAATATAAAAAAGGAAATGAAAATTTTTGATAATTTAAATGACATTTTCTGAAATTTTAAAATAAATAAAATAATAAATTAAGTATTCTGGATAAAATAATTGAGTAAGGTATTTGTTTTAAGATAATGTCTGGCATTATTGCAATCTCTCTTTGAGGGGCCTTATTTTAGAGATTGTAAATTGTAGCTCGATTTTTCTTGTCTCTAAATTTTCTGAAAGATTCCTTACATATAAATTTATATCTCTAAGTTTCATTAAACTATCAATTTCTCGAAGAAAATGTGATGAGATATCCAGAAAGATCCAAAAATAAACGAGTTAAATAATACATAAAATCTAACCTCAAATAATTTTGTATATTCCTTCCCTTTATTTATTATTTTTTAAATTTAAACAAGTCATTAATTTCAAAATAAATAAAGAGGAAATAATTATTCAAAGTCTAGCTGGCTAAAAGGAAATTGCGAAAATATTTTTCAATTTATTAATTAGTGCATGTGAAATTTTGAAATGGTCTGTGATTAATAAATAATTTCATAAATTTTTATAATGAAATTTATATAATTAAGAAATGTGTTGAGAATTAAGAAATGCCCCTAGACTCCGATAATTCTCCAGGACTCCGATAATTCTATAGAACACATCGAAGCCTAGTTTTAAATCCCTATAACTATTCTGAATATCGAAAAGTCAAGATTCTTAAACATAAACTATTTCTGAATTTGAAAATAAAAAATGATAATATTTGTATAATAATTTTATAAACTTTTGATATATTATTTTTTAAATAAATGTTTATTTTAGAGAGGATGGACAGTTCTGTCTTGAAGTTTTTTGTTTTATCAAAATATATTTTCTGTTAATTAGTTAAATGTTAATTAAAAAAGATTATTTATTTCTATTAATGTAGGTATATACTCGATTGTAAATAAAAATATTTAAATTAAATTTATTTTTAATTTAAATTAAAAGTGCATATATATTCATATGACATAAGTGCATCTCGGGATTTCCCTTTTAAGTTTTAATGGGGATGTCCAATCCACACTGTGTTTGTCTACATATGGACAGCATGTGTATATCAAATTAATTTTAAAATAATTCTTAATATAAAGGGGGGGGGGATTCTCTTTTAAATTAAATTAAATTTTAAAATGTTTAATATTTTTATTTATTTTATTTTTTATTTTATTTTAACTCAAAGCTACGGTCTTCCAACTATTAAATTAAATGAAGGTAAATTTTGAAAATTATATTAAAGAGGTTTTAAATTAATTTGGAAATTAATTTCTAAAATTATTTTTAATAAATAATCTCTGTTTAATTAATAGGAAAATAGTAGAAATATATTTATCCAAGGATTTGTCTTTTTTCATTTCCAAATTCCTCCCTTTATTTTTAATTAATTTAAATATTTTAGTTAACAATTTAAATTTGTTTTCAAATCAATTAATAAATAATAATGGACATTATAAAAAGCTGCAGAAAACTTCTTTAATTACTACGAACAATTTAAATAATTCACCAAAAAATTTAAATTTAATAAGCAAAATTAAAGAAAATTCGAGACAATTAATTAGTAAATTAATTAATTTAAATTTAAAATATAAAATTATTTTTAAGAAATTCCTCGTGCTTTTCCTTCCTCTTCTGATTATCCAAAAATTAATGGGCAGATTCATTGGCAAGAACTACGTACTTTTATTTAAATTTTATTAAAAATTAGGGAAAGGTTCCCTAAACCCAAGTATTTAATCGAGGTGTTATTCTATCGTTTACAATACCAAGGACCTCAGGTCAAATTCCTGTAAATAGTATAAATGTTCAATACGATAAATGTTTGTGAATCAATGAGATTACTAATAAGGATCTTCCGCCTTTTTTATAAGGCAAACAAAGTGTATATTTTATAGATAAACAAATCCCGTTACAATTATTTTTCTATGTATTTCTTTCTAAACTTATTAATATTGTGAGCAGTGCTGGAATTTTGATTTTGCTCGTAATCGTACTTCATAACAAGAGGGAAATTTTTATGTCAATCTCTATTAGAGAATGACTACATTTTTTTAGTTTTATAATAAAATCTCAAACTAATTATTTATATAATTTAATTTTTAAAGCAACTTTAACTTCTGAAGTCGAAAATTTATATCACGGCGCTGCATTACTAATAAAAATTGATGATAAAGATAATAATGAAGTAATTTATGAAAAAGCTGGAAATTTTATGGATTCTTCTAATAGAGAAAATTTTTTTCAGTTTTTGGCACATTGTGATAAAGGATTGGCAAAGGAAATTGGGAATTTAATTAATAAAATTGTTAAGAGTGATTTGGGAGAAGGAGATAATTCTCAATTAATTTCCCGTCTTTGTTGTTGGACTTTAACTACATTTATTATTAATGCTTTGTTTTTGTTAGATGGAGATGATATTGTTAAAATAGGAAATGGGATACATTTAATTGATACTTTTGGATTTTTAAATAAATTATTGACTGAAAAGTAAGTGAATTTATATTAAACAAAAATTGTAAAATATCCCATAATTTAATTAAAAACATAAGGAAATCCCTAAATTCTATATAAATAGTAACGAATATTACCTTGATTAAATTTTAGTGAAAAGGATTCAAATAAACTGACTAAAATTAAAGAAATACTCGAAATAGTTATTGAGAATATGAAGAAAATTTTTCCTTCTAAAACATTTTTCGATGGAGGTTATGCTTTCTTGTTAGATTGAAGAATTATTAATAGTAAATGAAAAAAAATTTTTCTTCTTTTGTAAATTTTTATATGATTATAATAATTTATTAGTATATGTATATGTATATATTCAATAGAATAAATTGTAATTATACTAGTTTAAAGATATTTTTGTGGGGATTTTATTTGCATACCTTTGAATAGGATCTCAAAAATTGATATTTCTCATTAAAGTTATTTTAAATTGTGAATTTTCGGGAATTTTCTATTATATCCTTCCCAAAAATAAATGCTTCACATCAATTAGGTGACAGATCTTCTTGTGGATACCTTAAATCAAAAGATTTTCCTTAAAATCAAAGGATTTTTTCCCCAATCCTCCTGCACTTTAAAAAATCTTTCATAATTTTTTATTTTCTATGTCAGAAGGGTACTGATATCCATTAACAACTTGTCCTTTATAGATTTTTACATAATTAAATAAACTTTTCTCTTAAAAACTTAATTGTTAAATTTAATAAATGAATATTTTTAATTTAATTTATGTTTATATTTTTAATATACTAATGACAATAAATTTTAAATATTGTTCATAACTAAAATATAGAGAAAAAGTTAATAGAATTTAAGAAGTTCAACTGACGTGCTGTGCTTCTATATACTATAATATAATAATTTAATAATTTTTCTCAAAACTTTAATGTTTAAAACTAACCATAAATTGATGTAAAATATAAATATTTATTTAAAATTGTCTTTAAAAAATTAGAAGTTTATTTTTCAATAAGCAACAATTATTTAATTTTTGAATAATTAAAAACTTTGGCAAAATTGTTTCCCTATTTACAAAAATAATTTAAATAAAATGAGTAATCAAACTGTTAGTTTGATTTTTAAATAATTAAAATAAATTATTATTTTTTTAAAGTTATTCGACATTTATGGAGATCAAGGGCTTCCATTTGGATTAATTACCGTTAATGTGGTTAGAGTTGTTATTTCTACTATTGGTGTTTTACTTAATGCTTCTTTTGTCTTTGTTACAATTAAAATTAAGTTTGTACTAGTAAAAATATATGTATCCTTTATATTTTTGTTTATAACAGTCATTCATAGGGTTGAGGCAAACTGCTCGAATCCCAAACCTGGACTTTTTTCTATCCAAAATCCGAAACTCGGCCCGACGAAAATTTTGTAAATTTGATCTGAAACTCGTCCCATCTTTTTTCTCAACACGTTCTATCCCTGATTCACATTTCCACAAATTCACTCGCATTTATGAAGTGCCGATGTTCCCAAATTCCTTTTTAATTTAAAATTAATTTAATACAACAGAACATTAAATTCTCCATGTCATTTACTTCTTGCTTTTGATTGCTTTGTTTCTGCTTGGTATCAATCAAGTAGCTGGTTCTCATTAACTGTTTTATTCAACACTGGAAACCAATTTGTTAATATTCGTACTTGTTGTCTAAAAATACTTCCTCCTTTTCAAATTGGATATACATCTTCATTTAATGCTATATTTTTAATATCAGTAGATAGACTAATTAGTGTGTTATTCCCTATATGGTTTGTTAAAAAAATAAATTAAAGAAGATTATCTTTTTAAATTTTAAGGTATAGTCAAAGACAAATTTCTAAAAAATTTTACCTTATCCCTATGCTCTTCTCATCCCTATTAAGCCCAGCAATTGTTATCTACGCCCAGTTTCAAATTATTTATTCAGCACAAGAAACTCGGTACCTACTTATTTTAAAATAATAATAGAAATATTTTTAGACAAATAATTTGTGTTGCATCAGAGTGCTCCTGGAGTTGGGCTGCCGATTTAACATATTTTTTGTTTACTTCATTTTATGGTTTTACATTAATTAATTATTCAACTGTGTGGATTGTTTTAAAATATAGAACGTGGAAGGCAAACAATAATTTAGGTAAATAACTTCTCTGCTGCAGAAAATTAGTACTTGTTCAGCTCGCAATACGAAATGTCCCCCTCCCCCCTCCCCCGTCAATTTTTTGTTAAATATGTTAAAAACGATCAGTCAGTTAAAAGATTATAGAGCTCATCAAGCTGTGTCGAATGGCACTGAAATCAACCCCCGGTCTTAACTTTGGGCCGAGATACAAACTCCCGCAAGTTGAAAAATCACAGGGTCGGCCAAGCTGACCAATCTTCACTACCTAAGATTTTTCAATTTGAACATAAAAGTTTGTAGTATCAATTTTTAGTATCTTCTTATGTCTGGACACAACGAATTTTGAAGACATTATTTGTAATTATGTTATTTAATTTTGTTGGTCTATTTATGAATAGTATTGCAAGAATTGTTGTTCCTCGTTTTAATTTGGATATTACAGATAAATCTTTAATAATTTATTCACTAAGTTGTTTAACTAGCTTTGTTATGTCTTCAAATGCTCCAATTCTCTTCTTTTTTAATTAAGTTTTATTTTAAATTTTTTGGGGGAAATATTTAAATTTGTAAACAAAAAAATAACAAAATAAAATTTAATTTTTAACTTAAAATTTTTATTCTTTTTTTCATTTTTAGTCAGGAATACAGAAAGGCATTTCTGGTTGCTTTTAAAATTAAAACTTCAATTACCAAAGCAACAAATGTTGTTACAGCTGTTAATGCTAACAATCAAAAATTGCCGGCAAACAATTTTTCTACTACTAATTTAAGACATAATCGGGTAACATAAATTTTTCTTAAATTTTAATTATTTTTTTTATTTTTGAAATATTCCAAAAAAAATTTTATTTTTCTTCATTTGAGCGTTAAATTCAATTTTTGCTTTTATGTAATTATTTTACAAGAAATAAGTATATACCGTAAATGCTCGAAGTATTCGGATATTATCCGCGGATTAAGTATTTCTTTCAAAATACAATTCAAAATTTATCCCAATGTAGTATAGATTATTGGAGGAGAAAAGAAGCAGAGAATTAGACATTCTCTCAATATTTAATGAAAAAAGGAAATTTTAAATCCCATCAACATTTTGTAAATTTTATAGAGGTTTTGACCGTCTATTTTACCATTCATTGGATAATCAAAAATTGCCGGCAAACAATTTTTCTAATTGCCGGCAAACAATTTTTCGTTGGATCAATGATTCAACAAAAAATCAATTTAAAATTCTAAAGTTTTAAAAAAAACTTTCATCCAAAATTTTGAAAATTGACCTATTTTAGCTCTGCTAATACACAGAATTATTGCTTTTTCCTAATCGTATAAAATAAATTTTTCTTAATTTTTAATTATTCTTTATTTTATTCTTGAAATATTCCAAAAAATTTATTTTTTCTTTAACTGAGCGTTAAATTAAATTTTTGCTTTTATGTTATTGTTTTACGAGAAATAAGTATATACCGTAAATGCTCGAATAATTACCCCTTTAATAAGTACCCCCCTTTTTCCTACACAAATTTTAAAAATATTAAAAAAATCATTGTCATTTTTAATTATTGAAACATTTCAAAGTATAATATCTAAAAATAAATCGAGTTCCTCCTCGATCTCTTGAAATATTTTTCAAATTTAGCGCCTCCTCTTGATTAATTACCCCCTCCAGCGATAGGTCGAAACAATAATTACTTAGGGTAATTATTCGAGCATTTTCGGTAGCCGAATTTATATAGCACATCTCTCCTATTTTATACAAACCGGCCCCGAAAGACCGAATTATTATATTTTAATTTTATCAAAAATATAGATATATGTATAATTAATGAATTGATAGGGATATATAATAATATTATTTTTTGTAAAATTTTTTTATTTTGTTTTTTGACATCCATTTGTTGCTTTTTTAATTCCATTCGGTGAAACCAATTTTCTGTTTTTATTACTTTTAAAATCATCTTTTTTATCTTCCTCTTTTGAAATATTTAAATAAATATCTTCACTAACTTCAATTCCATTCTCAATATGTTCATTTATACTATTATTTTCTTTAGATGTTTTCTTAAATAATTAGCTAAATTTTCGGATATTTATTTTATAATCAGATTAGGGCCCGGAAGGTACCATATTATCGACTGTATTTTTCGGAATTTTATTTTACGATATTTTCAGTATTCCATACTCTAGTACGTAACGGTACAAAATTTTAGGCTCTAATTAGAATATGAGGAGGTACTTAAAACAAAAAAAGACAAAAATGAAATGACATACACCTTTTTCTTTTATAAATTACTGTATATACTCTATTAATTACCCTGGGTAATTATTGTTTCAGTCTCTCTCTGGAGAGGGTAATTGATAGAGACGAGGCAATTAATAGCGGTTATTTTTGAAGGGCTAATCATAACTATTTTTAATATGGGTAATTATTGTTTCAATCTATTGCTGAAGGGGGTAAATAATAAAGGTGGAGTAATTATTTGAGGGAGGGTAATTAATAGAGTATATGCGGTAATTTTTTAGAATATGTACATAAATACAAAATTGCATTCTATCTCATATTATTACCAGTATTGTAACCCCAAAACTATCCCTAATTATCACTCACCACTTCATTATTAGCTCCCTTTTTGTTTTTATTGTTTAATAAGCTTTGGACGAATTGAATAGTAAAATTGTGCATTCTAGGCTTATTTCTCTCAAAAGTTTCCAAAGCACTTTCACGGCTAACTTTCCATTCAAACATTCTTTGATAGCAGGGACGGACATATTTAACACGTCCAATGTCAGAAACAAATTTTAAAGCAATTGGAATTATTGGCTCCCATTTAGCTTGTAAAGCTACCAAAATCCATTGACATTTACTTAAAATTAGTTTAATTAAATATAACTATTATTTGCATTTATAGCGAGATTGGAGATAAAAGAGAATAAAGTTTAAATTATTTTAAAAAATAATTAAAACATACACATCACAATTTCCTGTAGTATTTAATGAATATTTCTTTTCCATAATTTCAATACGTTCATGCTAAATTATTAAAAATATAATTTCTTTTAATTCTATGTAGTAAATAATTATTTCGATTAAAAAAACTATTTTTATATTTAAAGAGTATTCTTAAAAAATACATTGAATGAATGAGCACTTCCACTTGATATATCCTTAACAAAAATTTTTAAAATAATATTAAAATTTAATTAACTTACAACATCCAAAAGACTGAAAAATTTTTCTTTTTGTGCAGTCATCATTTCTTCGAATTCATTAGCTCCAAGTTCATTTATTTCTTTATCAGAACCATATAACCATTTATTGGCAAGTGATTTACAAATTTTTAATAAAGTTTCGTCAAAACTATAAAAAATTTTTCGAAATTAATTTTTAAATATTTTAAAAACGTCGGCTTTTGAGGAGGCATTCCTGGCCTGTGTAACCAGTTATTCCAATTAATTGAATCCAAAATTGAACGTTTGTCATCATAAAATTCGTAGAGATACTAAAATAGATAATTAAAATTTTAAAAAATTTAGAGAGCATGTAAATAAATTTGGTTATTTCTCCCAAATTATCTCTCCCCAAATTTTCGACCTGACTATTTGGGAACCAGGCCAGAAACTTCCTAAAAATAGGAAAGTACGATTTTTGAGTAAAAATTTATAATTTTGTTCAGAATCATTGAATCAATCGGATTTTTGTGTCATTCGACTCAGCTCGACGAGCTCTTTCAAATAAGCTATCATTTGTATAATCGAATTTTTTACACCAAAAAAGGAGCATAAGAGAATCGGGAGGATATGTTTTAAATTTTTAATAATTTTACAATAAAAAATAATTAAATAAATTATATACATCCATCCATTCATCTGTAACAATTGATCTATAGGCAAATTTGTTAATATAACTTCGAAGGAATTGTTCAAAACGAGGCGGATCTCCTAACCGTTGTTCTAATAATAAAAGTAAAGCAGCACCTTTTTGGTAGGGAATTGGACTGAAAATTGGAATTTAAATTTTGGAATCAACTTTTTCCAATAATTTTATTTAAATTTCCAATTTTTTACCTAAAAACATCATCAGCACATTGCCCATCTAAAGGAACAATTAAACGAGTAAATGGATGTTCGGGATGAAATGTTTCGTAAATACACATTCGTAAATGATCTTCCCATCCAGATAAATGCATAAAAAGACGAAATTGTTCTCCAAATATTTTCCCAAGAATTTTATATTCAACAAATTCAGTAAACCCTTCATTTAACCTTTAAATTATATATTTACATATTTTTAATTATAATTAAATACGATCACCAGCAATTAAATAATATTTATAATTACCAAAAATGTTCCCAAGAAGCATTTGTAACTAAATTTCCAGTCCAACTATGAGCTATTTCATGGGCAACAACAGTCGTTAATGAACGATCACCGGCAATTATTGTTGGTGTTACAAAAGTCATACAAGGATTTTCCATGCCCCCAAATGAGAAAAATGGAGGTAAAACAATCATATCAAAACTATTAAAATAAATAAAATTAAAATTTGGAATCCGATTGGAATTACTCTGGGGAATAAACAACCAAAATTCCTAATTCGGGTTTAACAAAAATATTTTTACCGTCCCCAACGATATTCCCCCATTAATTCTGTTGCAATTTCCAACATTTTTTCAGTCTCCTCAAATTCTTTATGAGCAATATCCACCATTGAAGGTTCTGCCCATACCGCACATCTTTTACTTATATCACGTTTAACTAAAGCTCCAACAACTATAGCAAATAAATAGGAGGGGATTGGTACTTTCTTAAATTTTAATAAATTAATTTGAAGATATATAGGTAATTATTATTTATATTACAATGGCATCCTATATCAAAATTTAATTATTAATTAGCACACCTGTAAAAAATTAAATTGAACAAATTGTTCACTTCCATTTATTTCTCGATTATTTATTGGACGTCCCTCATCTTCTAACAAAACGGCACTCATTAAACATTGCATTCCTTTTGGAACAGTTATATTAGCTGTATATGTTTGTTTAACTGCTGGAGTATCCATGCATGGAACGAGTGATTTAGCATGTATTTGTTGGCATTGACTATATAAAAATGGGTGTGTACGGTCTGCGGTTAACGACGATTCTACAAATTGAAGAGCTGAAGCTGAACTTGAAGTTGAATATTGAAATTCGATTTTGCTAAAAAATAAGAGGAGGGATATTCAATTGTTTCTCTCTAAGAATTAATTATTTTCTAATTTTAAAAATTTACCCTTTCTCCCCGGAACTAAATTGCCCATCTATCAATAAATATTTTCCAACAAGTGGAATTTCTCCACTTCGAGCTTTACATTTTTTTCCATTCAATTTAATTGAACAAATAGTTTGATCGCTTATATCAAGAATCTTTTGAGATAATTTTTTTAATTATGTTTTTTTATAATTCCCACAATTTTGTCAGTATCCTTCAAAACTCTATAATTCAATATTGCAGCACCAACAATTCTTGTCCTTTCAAAATCAACAAACCAATCAACTAAAATATTTTAAAAATTTAAAATCTAAAATTAAAATTAAACAATTAATATTTTCTATAGTAATTTCATTGAAATTTGCACAAGTATTTGGATCACGGATCTGAACCATTTTTGAGAATGAATAAAATTAAATACTATAATTTATAAATAGGTGATCTAAAAATTTAAGTTAATATTTTTTTATTACTTTACTCTAAAGTGCATAATTTAGTCTGTTTAAACTTCTCTCAATGTTCTAGCAAAATTTTTTGGATAAAAGTCGGCCTGGATTCAAGGCTATGATTTTATATTTGAAATGTTTATAGCGTTGAAATATAAAATCTGACAGCTATTACGTAAATTATCCGAGATACGGTCCTCTGAATGTTAAATAAAAATAATTTTGGCAAATATAAAATTATTGGGTAAAATTTTCAAAAATGAAATTATAAGGTATTTCGATGCGCCTGAACAAGACGAGTCGATCATTCTTTTACCTAATCTTCTTCTTGCTAGTTTCAATTTCGGTATGTTAAAAAATTTAATTAATTTCTAAATTATTTTTAAAAATTCAACACAATTTATATACAGCAATTTAATTACTAATTTTTTATAGTAACAAAAATAAATTATCTATATTAGTAAAAAATTGTTCTGATAAATTAATTAAATAGATCATCGTTATCATTGCTATTCACGTGAATATTTATTACACGAGTTTTTGATTACGTTTAGCAACGAAATAAATTAGCTTGGGAATTTTTTGATTGACTAGCCATTTTATATATTTAATAGTGATAACAAAGTCCAAAAATGGATGGAAGGAAATAAATACAAAATGTGCCTCCACATGGTTATAATACATGTATAGAATAAAATATATAGAGCCTCTCAAAAAAAGGTAAAAAGGCGAAATCAGTCAAAAATAAGGCAAAAAGAGGCATTATTCTAATCACTTAAAAATAATTAAAATTTCAAATGAAAATTTTTCCGCTAGTTTTATTAACTAAATTGAGCAACTCAGGCTCAAAATAAAGAGATTATAATGAAGAGTAGTTTAATCCCTCTTAATCTTTTTTGGGAGGTCAAGAAGCTAGATTTCTTCATTATTTACGCTGGTTTCGGAAATTTTGGGAAACGTCAGAAAAGGGGCAAAAAAGTGTCACTTAAAAAGGGGGAAAATTCGAGTTTTTTCACATTTCTTATAACATTAACAAATTTTTATTATTTTAATCAAATTCAAAATCACAATTTATTTAAGATGTTTGTTACACTAAAGAATTAAAAAATCTAAAATAGAGTTGTTTGTAATAAATATTCGGAACTCGTATTATGATTAATATTTTGGATAAAAAAATTTTCGTGTGAGAAAATTTTCAAACAGTAATTTTAATAAGATGATATATGTAAAGGTATGCCAGTCACTACTATTAAAATTAATTTAAAAGAAACTAATTTTCAATTAAAGCAGAATATAAAAGTAATTATTAAATATTTCTATTCTTGAATAAATGTGTGGAAAGTAATGAATGAAATTAGGAACGCTGATTAATTTTTTTAATTTTTTTTAAATTAGGAACGCTGATTAATTTTTTTTAAAACGCTGATTAATTGTTATAATATATGAATGGAATATTTAAACAGGAAAATAAAAAAAGTCTTCTAAAAATATTCTTTAAAATATTTTTAGAATAAAGTAATTATTTAATGTCTGCATTTCTTAAAATACATTTTAATATTATAATTAAATTAATTTAATTGTATAATATAACTTATAGGGAAAGTAGAAAATGTAAAAATAATATATACCTAATTAATTATTATAGTCTCTACGGACAAAAATAATAATAAAAATTTTATTTAATTTTTCTATGAAATTATCTAAAAGGCTTTCATTGCTGTGAAAGATAAATAAGATAACAATCATTAGTATATTTCAAATAATAAAATTATCTTTCCATTACTTTTTTAGACCATAAACATGTGTTCAATTATAAAAATAATAATAATTTTATTTTATAAAAATTTCGATGAAATTTGAAATTTTATAATAACAAAAATTTAAATGAAAAAAAAATATATTTTATAAAAAATACAAAAATTTTATATTTTTTGTATTTTTACAGAAAAATATTTTAAGAAATTTGTTTTAATTTTTATATTTAAAATTTAATAATATAAAATTAATTTTTAAATTAACTTTCAGTTTAAGATTATTAAATTTTATTTAATTTTAAAATTAATATACGGGTACCAATAATCATTATTTGAATGCCTAGATAATTTAATTATAATAAGAAACCTTTAAAGATTTTTTAAATTATTTAATATTAGATTATAATACATAGTATATATTTATTTCCTCATGATTGTTAAATTAAATATGTCTATAATTAAATATAAATAATGAGAAAGTTTAAATTTATTTTAAATTATTAAATGTTAATTAAATAATAATTATTTTTTATTAGATAGAAATGTTACATTATAATATTCAATTCTAAATTACTTGCCAACAGAAGAAATTTTTTTACATAATTTTATTTGATTAATACGTATAAAAATTGTAATAATAAATCATAGTTTTTCAAACAAATATTTATTTTTAAATAAACATCTTTTTCGTGAAATAAAACATTATGAATTAAATTTCGAAGCAATTGTAATAATATTAAAAATTTCACTATGCCCTAAGTATGAATCCCTTTAATTTTTTTAAATTTACGTACAAAACAAAATTTAAAAATTTTTGTTTTTATTTTTCAATAAAATAATACATGCAATGCATATGTACATAGTATATCATTCGAAAGCTCTTCAAGAGTTCTATCAAGGAAAACTAGATTTTTCATTGATAAGAAATTCAAAAATTTTAAAAAATTTGGGAGGAATTTACACATCGTTTTCACAACAAATTTTTAAAACATAGAACTCCCTTTATAGAATAAAAAATTCTCAAACTTTGGTTTTTATTAGAAAACACTCTATAAAGTAAATATCCAAAGTTTTAAGTCTTTTGGACATTTACAAAAAAAATTCTATAACTATTTATGTAAAATAGGACAACTTAGTAGTATACATTGGAATTGCAGGTTATTTCAACAAATCTAATTAACTAAAAATTAAAAACTAAAGAAAATAGTAATACATTCAAAAAGGATAAAGACTTCGAAGATGAGCGCTCAATCAGTAATAATATATTATTTATATTAGCCTAATAATTTGTAGGGATATCCCTTATTTTTAGGATTAAGGATACCCCTTTTAGCCATAGGGTGTATTTAAGAATATGACTAAGCTTAATTTTTTACGACTTTATATTTGTTCGTAAAAGAACCTAAACTTTAAGTTTGAAAATTTATCCAAAGTTTCTAAATATAAATAAAGGGTTTCTAAATATAAAAAAATATTTTTATTATTTAATAATTAAAAATAATTTTTTAGTCTGAATACAAAGATGATGGGATTAGATTTGAATTTCTTCTGCCCCCACTTGTTTATTCATTTGTAGGATTTATCGGAATTTTATTTAATACAAGTGTTTGTTATATAACAATTAAATATAGGTAATTAATTAATTAATTAAATAATTAATTTAATTAATTTAAATTAAAGAAAACAATATTCAACACTTAAAAGTAATACAGCTATTTTATTAACAATTAACTCTTTTTTTGAAATTCTTCATCAATCTGGGCAATTTATTTACTTAATAATTGCTGTAAATGGAATTAATTTAATTCAATTAAATAAAATAATTTTATTTCAAATTCATTCAATTATTGGAATGTTTTCTGCTGTGTTTTTGTTTAATTCTTTAAGTTTTGATCGTTTCCTTGGAGTGGCATTTCCAATCTAGTAACTACTTAATTATTTAGATACCCTAATCTCCCTTATGGAATGACTCCTCTGATATAATGAAATTTCAGGGGCCGTATTCAAAGAACGAGGTAGAAATTTTACCCGCAACCACAGCTACGGGTTACTCTTACCCTTGCGGGTTCTATTACCAGAGTAACGAACCACAACTACGGGCTACCCTTAGCCTCATTTGTTAATAAGGGTTCTGAGTGCAGCTGAGTGTTGGTTTAACCCCTACCTCGTTCTCTGAATACGGCCCCAGAGGGTTAAATAGAATTAATGTTATTCTACATATGTGTGAGTTTACAGTTTATTTTTAGAAAATTTTTATTCAAATTAAATTAGATTAAATTTGAGTTATAATTTTTAAACATTTTTAAGTAAAAGCAAAAACTACTTAATAACTAGAAAATAGTACTTTTAAGTCATTAATTTATTTAATTTCAGTTATAAAAAAATTAATTCTCGTCGATATATTTATTTACATCTTTTTTCAATTTTTTTGTTCAATTGTTACATAATTTTTATAATTATAAAAACAGTTAATGAATTACCTAATTTATTAGTTAATGGAAGTTTAACAGATTCTACTCTACTTATTAATGGAAATAGTTATTTTAAATTATTACCTTTTATTTTATTTCCTCCATTTATTTTTTATTTTTTAATTATTTTTATTTTAAAATTTGGGAAAGGTATTAATTTTTTTTAAATTTATTTAAAAAAATAATTTTTTTTAAAAAGAATTAAATTCTGATGAAACAATGAAAAAAGTATATCGTTCAGTATTTTTAATTATTTTTGTAAATATTGGAGGATATTTATTTTGTTCTTTAATTGTCGAATATATTCTTGTACCCTTCTTTGGAGCAAATCAAATAAATTTTTTATTATTTTTAATTATACCTGGATTAATAATTAATTTTGCTAGTGCTTCTAATGCTCCGATTCTTTTTATTAATAGGTTTTAGACATATTTAATTTATTTTAAAAAATTTAATTTTTTATTTAAGTACTGACTACAATGATGCTTATAAAAAAGAATTTAATTTTATTAAAAATATTTTATTTAAAAAAGTCGGAATTAAACAACAGACAAAAACAGCGGTTGTAATGTTAAATAAAAGCACTACAAATTTATCTTAATTATTTGAATATAAAGACTATGAATAAAGAAGTTAAATAAAAAAACTTGATCAAATGGATACCTATTTAGATTCTGAAATATCAATTAAAGAATAAAGATTAAATATGTTTTTTGTGTAAAAGATCCATATACCTGTCGAGATCTAATTTAATTTTTATTTTATATAATTTTCAGGCTTCAATGTCAAATCAAAATTCGAGAAATTGATTTTGTCGGCCACTAATATATATTCAAAAATAAGTAAAAATTGTGTAAATATCAGAGTTGGGTCGGAATTCCGATTTCCGGCTCTTTCGATTTCTTACACCTCTTACTATTCCGACCCATCTTTGGTAAATCTCACTAATTTCTCATGAAAAAATATTTAAAAATACTTAAAATTAAAAAATATACTTGACACCTTTATATACAAAATATTAAATTTACTGCAGCTCTTGATGAGAGAAATTAAATTTTTTGTTAGATTAATAAATATTTGTTTGTTTTAAATAACCTCTTGATGCGCGAAATGTTTATGTTAAAATATTATAATATTTTTATTTAAAAATTTGAAAAAAATATAATTTTATTTATTGCAAATTATGATACAAAATTACAATAAATTTATTTTTTATTTAAATATTTTTGAACCTTTGTTAAATATTGCTAATAAACAACATAAACATTTAAAGCACTCGTTACAAGATTTTTATTTAAAATCTAAAAAGGTATTTATAAATGTGCTTTTCGGTTATGCACCTCCTCCTAATGATAAAAACTTTAAGTATGTAAAGCTGCTGTAATAGTAGTAAAAACTGCCAATTAGGAAACTTATCTAAATCATAAAATCATTTTTATATGTAAAGCGGATACAGATCTAAAAACGTCTTTGAAATATAGGCACACAAGGAATCTAACTTACATAGAGATGGATGAAAATTGAATTTGGGATATAAATTCGTTTGGCCGACTGATAAATCATTTTAAGAGCTCATCGAACAGAGTTGATCGTGTAACTTTTATCAAGTGTTTAATTTTTCCAATTTTATTATTTTTTAAAAATATCCCAAAATTAATAAAATATAATTTAATTTTTAAATTTTAATTTTAAATTTTAAATTTTTTGTTCTCATTTTCAATTTTGTGTTTACAAAATAAAAAAATGTTATTTTATTCTTTTCAATCTTTCACCTCTTTATTTTTTTTAATTTTTAAAGATCACAGATAAAAGTTTTTTCTTTTTAATTTTAAAAATTTTCTTTAAGTGGAAAATCATTACTCTTTTCTTTTTTTCTAAGTTTCTCGTTTACAATTTACTTTAACCTTTTTTTTTAAATAATCTCTCTCAAGTTTTCTTAAATAATTTTTTAAAAATAAATTTATTTATTTTAAAAAAATATTTTTTTAGATATTTTATTTTATTTATTTTCTCAGTTAGAAATATTTAAACTATTTTTAAATTAAATATAAATAATAAAATAATTTTGTTAAAATAAACAGTTGTTTCTTTTATATATTTAATCTCTTACTCCCCAACTGTTTCAATCACTTTTTACTTAAATTCCTCAAAAATCTTTTTAATATATATTTTATTTTTAACTTAATGTGACCATTTTTCTTTTTTTCCACATTCCTCAAATATATTTTAAAACATCTGGGAATTTAAAAATTTATTGGGAATTTTTGTGGATCAAAGATAATATTTGAGAGAGAGAGTAACAAATTTTTAAGTAAAAATATTTCAGAAAAAACATTTTAATTTTAAATCTATAAATTGATCCTTTTCCTTAAATTCCTTTATTTTTTTAAATTTTTCCAAGCCACATATAATTAGAAAATATTTTTTTTATTATTTCTGTTAAAATCTTTTAATTAAAAAAATAAACAATTTAAGTAAGCATAACTTAAACTTTAATAAAAATTTAATTCCTAAAATTATTTTTGAATTAAATGTGTAGGAAGTACTTGAATATTATTCTCATTCTCTCCTCCTTTCTACTTGAAGTATTGCTAAAAATGGCAAAAAATTATTAGGATTATTTAGAATCTTTTTAAAGATATTTTTGAATTATTACTCTAAAAAATAAATTTTTTTTTAATTTTTCTGGCTAAAAATTTGCTGATACTACTATATAATCAAATTTAAAACTATCTAAATTCTCAAATTGAAAGCTAACGTATATGCTTGAATAATTACTCGCTCTCGAATAATTGCCTCCTCTCAAATAATCTAACGAAAGGTTAGATTATTCTATATATCTAACGAAAGGTTGAAAAAATACTTACCCAGGGTAATTTTGAACATATACGGTATCTAATAAATTTTTGATTTATATTTCTATTTTGATTTGAATTCTTATTTCCGAAGGATTACTTATAAGCTATTTTACCTAGTGTTCATTATTTACAAAAAATAACTAAGTGAACATGTATTTTTTTCTTTTTTTAAATATTTTCCTTCCACTTGACAATTGTTAATATATATATATATAAATATATTATTTGTTCAGTAATTAACCTTCAAAATATAATAACTAAATATTATTTCAGATTTACGATCATATGATGGCTCTTGGTACTAATCAACCACAAACAAGTTCTTCTTTAATGGCTTTTAGTGAAGAAATAATTAAACAGGTAATTTTATTTAAATGCTTTTTAACATGCTTAAAATACTATAAATTATTATTTGAAGAAAATTCTATTCTGAGTCAGGAAATAAAAATTTTTTAAATAATAATTTTAAAGTTAACACCAGAAGAAATTGATGAATTCAGAGAAGCTTTTATGATGTTTGATAAAGACGGAAATGGAACAATTTCAACAAAAGAATTGGGGGTTGCAATGCGTTCTTTAGGTCAAAATCCTACAGAACAAGAAATTCTTGAAATGATAAATGAAGTAGATATTGACGGGAATGGACAAATTGAATTTCCAGAATTTTGTGTTATGATGAAAAGAATGATGAAAGAAACGTAGAAAAATTAATTTAAAAAATAAATGAAATATTTTAATAATTTTTAGAGATTCGGAAATGATACGAGAGGCATTTCGAGTTTTTGATAAGGACGGGAATGGAGTTATAACTGCACAAGTGAGGATTATTATACTATGAAGGGTTTTAATTAGGGTTGGACACGAACGGTTTTAAAATTGGAAAATTTTGTTATTTTTTGCCAAAAAGTAACCGTTTCTATGAAATTTTAGAAATCGGAAATTTTTGAGAGAATTTAAAAAATTCTCCCAAAATAAAACAGATATTTAACTAAAACTAAAAACAAAACTGGAGCTTTTTTTAGATTCGGATTAACCGAAAGCCGGGAGTACCGCTTAATAACCGGTTTATTAGAAAATCACTATGATTTAATCCAAAATTTAAAGTATTGGGAGAAAATAATTTTCTTCTATAGAAAATTTCGTGATCTCGATAGTTCGAAACAATTAAAAATAAATCCACCTAATTTAACTTGGAGATAAATAGGAATATTGTGGGAAGGAAATTTCAAAAATACTACAATAATTCAAAATTAAATAAAAATTCTTTTAAAGGAATTTCGTTATTTTATGGTACATATGGGAATGCAATTTAGTGAACAAGAAGTTGATGAAATGATTCATGAGGTTGACGTTGATGGGGACGGAGAAATTAACTATGAAGAATTTGTTAAGGTTCTATAAGCAAACAAAGAATAAAGTTAATTTTCTTTTTTTTAGATGATGAGTGAAAGATGAAAAGAATTAATGAAAATATTAAATAATTTTAAAAAATCATTCCTTTTAATTTTTAATTAAATAAAATTTTGATTGTCATTTCCCTTTATGCTAAGTACATATGTATTAGCAAAATTAAATCACAATGTTTAACAAAATTAAATAATAATTTTAATAAAATTTAGAAATATATTTAAATTATCTCGAAAAATATTAAAAATTAAACACTAATTGACCCTTCACGGAAATTTGTCTTTCCAATAAGTACAACGGTTCTTTCGGGATGCTAATATTTTGAAAGCCCGAAGCCAACAAATGGCAAATACCCAGCACTGATCCCCGCTCATTCTTGTACATAATACTTAACTAAAATATAAATAAAAAAGTCGGCCTGTAAATTTAATAGAACACGTTTTAATGAAAATTATTAAAAATAATTTTAAAAAAAACAACATGTATACAGAAATTATAACTTTAAAAAATCGAAAAAAATTTTTTTAAAATATATTTATCAAAAAAGTCAAATTAAAGCAAAATTTTTAAACAAAATTCAAAAAATAAATTAAACTATCTCACCGGAACACGCCCAAAACAGCGCGCCCCCATAACGGCGCAAAGCCATAACTTGCTTTAAGATTTCTTAATCCTAACATCTTTAGTATCAAACTATTCCACTCAACGAGCTAAAGAGATTGGTACCAAAATTGACAAGGCCCAGACATTTTCCAGCAAGTTATGGCTTTGCGTCGTTATGGCCGCGCGCCGTTTTGGGTTGTACCCTAGACAACAATTAAGTCAATAAATAAATTAATCAATTAAAAATTCTTTTAATAACAATATCAGCTACTACCATAATAATACCATCAACTACTACTGGCGAATCCATCTCTTCAATGTATACAGAAAATTTAATTTTTGAATTGTGTTTATTGACAAGTTGGAATTTTGTAGTTTCGAATTCTTTGTAATTTAAAGCCTTTTGAATATTTTCTGCTTTTTCACTTGAATTTAGATGTCCATACACGCCATAAAATTTAATTTCTTTTACCATTTTGCAAATGTTTGGTGTTTCGACTATTTGCTAAAATTAAGGGAAATTTTTTAAACAAAACTTTTTATTTTTTTTTCAAGGATTCTTATATTATGGTCTCCATTGACCAATTTTGGCGTCATTCGATTAAGCTCAATTCGAACGACTTAAAATATCCGGAAATCTAAAGAAAAAGTTTCCTAGGTGACTGAATAAATTATAAGCCTTATTTTTATTGAAAACGATCTAGCCGGTAATTCTGACCATTTTGAGCTCATTATTATTTAAAATATACCCCTATAAACACTTAATTAAAAATGTGCAAACCTCAATAAAATAATTGTAAAATTCAGAGTCAAGATTTCTATAAGAAATATTTGAAAATTTGTTTCCTTCTGCTAAAAATTTGAATAAGCTGTCCATATCTTCCACATCAAATTCATTCGTTCCACCAAAAACCACGTCAAATTGTTTAGAAACCAGATGATTCAAAATAAATTTTAAAGTAACACTCTCGTAACTAAATATTTTTGCCTGTTGAGAATGTATTTGTAAAGGTAGATTTGTTGTTTCATCAAGCAATAATTGAATCATTTTTGGATTAAATAGAAAGCGAATTTCAAGATATTCAAAAACACAATTAAAAAGTAGTTTAAATAAAAAACGAGCAATTGCCATTTGTTCTAGATTTTGTGGAAATTTTGGCAATTTTATATGATATAATACTGAATAAAAAAATGATTAAAAACTTTCATTCTCAAAAGGATAATCTATGGTGAGTCCCAGCTTCGGTAATTGTGACTTTCCTTATGGTTTGAAAATTCCCAAAAAAAATTTTCTTGTTTAAACTCGTAATTTTATTTTCCGAATAGAGCTTAATATTTAACCTTTTTTCCCATTGTAATTCTGTCCCAAATCACAAATAATGGTGTCCACGTCTCTTTGTTCAATAGGTTCACTCAATTCAAGATCATACAGAGATGATGTTAAAAACATTGGAATTGACTCTTCTATTCCACGTATCCACTAAAATTTTTGAGTTTACTTGAAATGTTTAAATTAAAAAAAACCTTTTGTTCTAGATGTTCACTCAATTCAAAATAATAAAGTTGAGGCGGTATTTCAATAAATTTATATTCGGGGTATATTTTAACGTAATTATCTCCTTCCAATTTTAAGTCAAAAACAGGACGCTAAAAAATGATAATTAGTATTACGAAAATCAATTGGTACTGTGCATTTATACAAAGGATCGCACCGACATTAAAACAAAATTCCCGATTTCGGGAATTTTGTCGGTGCTTCCCAATTTCGGGAATTTTGTCGGTGCTTTATACATCTTCCCCTCCTTGATTATGCTTTTTTCAAAAACATTGAAAAATGGTCAAAGGTAAATAAAGATCGTCTTAAATTACTTAAATCTCTCTAATAAAATAGCCGGCTCTTATTCTTTCAATCAACAAAATTCTATTAAAGGGGGTCATTAAAATGGAGGGAGGCATTCTATTAGAGAAAATATAGTAATTTAATCTTACCTTCATTTCCCCTTAAACATTTTTTATAATTTTTGAGTAAGGAGAAGGAAAAGATAGGCGTATAAACGCATAGTAACAATTTATAAATAAATACAAATTTAAGTTTAGCAAATTTCTTCCTAGCCAATTCCTTTCCATATTTGTCAATAATATTTTTGAAATAAAGACTTGTTTCTTGAAAAGATAATAATTGATCAAAGTCGAGAAATTTGAAAACATCCAATAAATTCTCTTGTGGAAGGCTTATTTGTAAATGCTTTTCAGTTTTGTTGTCAGCAAGCACATTGTCGTTTCTAATTGGAGTCATCCGATGCCACCGACCTTCCTAAATAATTTTAATATTTAATTTAGACATAAAATTATAAAAAAACCTCTAAATAATATTTAATTCCTTTGAATTCAATTATTTTTCGATACCCGCTCATTCTTAAAAATAATTTAACTAGAATAAAGAAAGTTGGCCTGTAAATTTTTTTGTAAAAATTAATGAAAATATTAAATAATTAAAAAATCATTCCTTTTAATTTTTAATTAAACAAATAAAACTTTAATGATTGTCATTTCCCTTTATGCTAATTATTAGCAAAATTAAATCACAATGTTTAACAAAATTAATAACAATTTTAATAAAATTAGAAATATATAAAGAATTATCTCGAAAATTAATCATTAAACACTAATTGACCCTTCACGGAAATTTGTCTTTCCAATAAGTACATTCACAACTAGAGATTGTTTTTCTGCTCTACTTCTGGCCATTACCTGAGCCAACGCTTCGCGTACTTGCTTGACGTCCATATCACCGTCCAAAAATAATGATTGAGTGCCTAATGCTTTTGCCGCTTCTTCATAATGAGTATACTGTTTAAAATTTAAAAAATTATTAAATAAATTTTTTGTAAATTATGGGGGAAAATGAACTAAATCAAAAAAATTTTTGGATGGGTAGTCTGCTCATTTAATATTAAAAATAATTTTTACGTCCAAATCGCAAGCAACGGCTGATTTAAAGTGCGGCACTTGTTCTCTGGCAATTTGAGTCCAACAGGCATCATTTCCAATAATTCCAACAACTGGAAGTTTATGGCGAACAAAAGTGTCGAATTCCATCAAAGAATAACTTAAATTTAGAAATCAAAAAATAAAATTAAAAAAAATTACCCAGCAGATCCATCACCATAAATTATAACAACGGTTCTTTCGGGATAAACAGCTTTTGCACCAAGTGCAAATCCAGCACCCACACCCAATGTGCCAAAAGTGCCGGGATCGAGCCTTTAAATAAAAATGAGTTAAAGAATAAAAAAAAGGACAAAGATAAATTAATAAATGTAGGTCAATAAATAGAGCGAAGAATGCCAAAAAATTAATTTAAATTTATGACATTCTCACAATCAGATTAGTCCTAACAACCAATCTCACCCATAGACAAATTAAATCAGTTATGTATTACCATTGTAATGGCCCTCCTGGTCGAACAATATAAGCAGCACTAAAATTATAAAATAACAAATTAATTTATTTAAAAAACCTTCCAACAAAATCGCCGCCATCTGCAACCAAAATTGCATCTTTTGGAATTACCTAAACAATTAATTAGTTTTGCAAAGTTTTTTCAAAAACTTGAAAATTGAAAAGGTGTTTGAGAGATCTAATTTCTAACATTTGTGGATAAAGCCTTTAATAGCTACTATGGTTTTTAGTTTCAATTTTAGAGGTACTACACCAAAAAATTCGAATCACGGGCTATGACGCAAAAATTAGAAATTTTCATTAACAAAAACTTTATAAAATAAAAATTTAAAAAACAACCTCATCCATTGCAGTCAACAATACAAGAGGGTTCATATGTCCATCATCAGGTTTTTGTGCCAATTTTTTTGCAGTGTCTTCTTCTTTTTTAATTTCCATTTCCCTCAACATTTCAATCCATTCTTTACACTTTTCCAAACCTCCCCATTTTCGTTCCTTCATTTGCTCTTGAAGTCCTAACAAAGTCAAACCAACATCAGCTTGAATAGTTGCTGCAGAATTCCAGAAAACGCCGTGATTCTAAATTAATTAATGTTAAAATTAAATATACTTAATTAACCTTTAACATTTGTTCCTGACTTCTATTTATTGAAATAACTTTTGTTTCAGGTGAAAATCCCTTTCCATAGGTTAGACGAAAGTCACATACAGCTCCTATAAAACTGAATTTAAAAAGAAACAAAGGATTAAGCGAGAATTTTAAATTTTTCTTCTTCCAAAATTTATGATTTTTAGCATATTTCAAGGGGAGGGGGTTACTCCAAAAAAGCATAATTACAAAGGATTAAAAAACAGAAATAATTTTTAAACGATTAGGAATTGAGCCCGATGCCAGCAGTAAGGGCGTAGCATCGGACTTTCTTGGCTACACCCTTAACTAGCCGCAATATCCATATCCGTTTCTTTTTTTTGTAGGATCAGAGATAATCTAGTATTTTCCCTCTCCTTCTGATATTCTTTACATAAATATATCTAAATTTAACCTGCAAGAAGAATAACATCAGCCTCCTTAATTGCAATCTTTCTATTTTGACGCATTTGTAACGGTGAATTTGCCCCTAACAATCCACGACTCATTCCACCCAAATAAGTAGGAATACCCAAATTCTTAAAAATAATAAATTAAAGATTTTTCATAAAAATTAAAGCAATACATTAACAATTTGAACAAGTTGTTCAGTTTTAAGTGGAGGCAAAGTAGATTGACTTCCCATTAGTAAAAGTGGACGTTTTGCATTTTCAAGAATAGCTGCAATTTTTGTAATATCTTCGATGTTTGGCTTTGGAATTGTGACAGGTAAAGGTCCAAATTCTTCGTGAGACCAAGCATTGTGGAACTGACGATAAATATGTTGATAGACAGACTCGTTGAAGTTTTGCTGAAAATTTTTTTAAGTTATCAGGTTTCAAAAGGGGGTCAACCCTGAAGACCTACACCCCCAAGACCTACACCCTGAGGACCTACACCCTGAAGACCTACTGACCCTGAAGACCTACACCCTAAAGACCTATTTACCCTGAAGACCTACAACTTTTTGATCAACTCAAATTATTTATAGTAGGGGATATCGAGGATATCAGAAAATCCTCTTTATCCCGATAAGCCCTCTATCCACTTTAAAACCTCAAAATCCTCTATATCTCCCTTAATCCACCTTTATCCCATTTAAAACCTTCAAATCCATCGATATCCCCCTTAATCCCTCCTAGTTCCTCTTTACCTTCTTTAAATCCCCCGATTAGACTTGTAAAGAAATAAAAAGTAAAAAATTGTGTTGATCAAAAAGTTGTAGGTCTTCAGGGTAAATAGGTCTTTAGGGTGTAGGTCTTCAGGGTCAGTAGGTCTTCAGGGTGTAGGTCCTCAGGGTGTAGGTCTTGGGGGTGTAGGTCTTCAGGGGTGGACTCTTCAAAAGTCGAAGTTTGAGAGGTGTTTGAGTCACCAGAATTAAAAATTGTGAGAAAAACACCCATCAAAAAAGTAATTTTGCTAATTAAGGTTGCCGTTTTCGAGTCGGGCCGACGGTCGAGTCATTTTTTCGGACCTCATTTTTATCGAGTCGGGCCGTACGAGTCTTTTTCGGGCCAAATATCTTAGGCCCGACTCGATCTTTCGGTCCGAGGCGGGCAATCTTGGCAACCTGTTCCTAATGTCAACAATATTGAATAAGCCCAAATTTCTCAATTTCAATTAATTTAACCTTTTCTGGCGTATCAGGGTTTTTTATAAGGCTGGCATCTCTAAGCACTTCCTGATAGGATTGAAGAACATCCAATGGGAACTCAATAAATACAGGGCCAGGAGTGCCTGATTGAGAAACAGAAATTGCCTCACGAAGTGTTGGAACTTGAAAAATAAATTTATTTCTAAATTTTATTTAAAAATTATTTGAAACCTATATCGTCAACATTTATAATTCTTGCAGTAAATTTACACATTGATTGAATTATTGGAATTTGATCAATGTCCTGTAGCGCCCCTTTGCCTTTCATTAATGAAGGAGCAGCACCAGCCAAAAGAATAACAGGCGATTCAGCCAATTGGGCATTTTTTAAGGAAGTAATTGTGTTTGTAACACCTTAGAGATTTTTAGATAAAGAAAACTTTTAAGAAAACCTGGCCCTGAAGTTACAGCAGCAACGCCAATATGTTGACGAAGACGAGCAACTAAATTATTTTTAAGTTACCATTTATTTGAAAATAAAATCCCTCCCGGAAAGTTTTAGTCTATATCAGAGTTTCAACGGAAAGTTCCGGTGTTTTTTGAGTTCCGGGAACCGGAACTCAAACTGGATCCGGTGAAACACCAGTCTATATATAAAATTTTGGGGAAATAGATGACGCATGAACACTAAAACCTTTTAAATTTGAAAATTTATTTTCGAAAATAGTCCCCAAAAGAATTTATTAAGAAGCTAAAACTTAAATAAGCCTGTCAAATTTCCCTCCAAAAAATAAAACCTGCATCAGCTGCAAATACAGCATTCACTTCATGTCTTGTATCATAAATCTTTAAATGAATTTAAATAAAATTCTTAGAAAATTAAAACTTTAATTCCAAGCTGTTCAGAACTAACAAGTATCGGCGAAATATGTCCTCCACACAAAGTAAATATTTCTTTCACATTATGAGCCAAAAAGAAAGAAAAATAATTTACTTAAAGAATAAACAAAAAAATTACTTTAAGGACAGAAGCAACCAATTCCCCTCCATGTTTTTTGGATTCTTTATCGATCTAAAAAAGATTTTTTGATTTAAAAAAATTAAAGACAAACATTAAATTTTGTAGAAAAATATTTGGAATTTATTAAAATTAAATTTGTTTTTTTGGCACATTTATTTAATGTTTGGCGAGAGAAATTTAAAAACATTTAAGAAAATTTTTAGTTGAATTTATGGAATTTTTGATTAAAAATGAAAAAAATAAACGCGTGATAAATAAGAATAAATTACATTAATTTTAATCATAAAATATTTTATTGAAACATTTTTTGGTTTTTTATGATTACTTTGCTTGCTATTTTACTGATAAAAAAGAGGGACACGGACACTTAGTCGCAGGCCACTTAGTCGCGAAGTAGCTAAAAAGTAGGGTTGGGCCCGATCCGAAAAACCGAGTCGAATTTTGGCCCGAAAAAGACTCGGCCGGACCGGCCCGATAAAAATAAGGCCCGATAAGTTTTAAGCGACCTGAACAAAGGACCTTCGCGACTAAGTGGCCTGCGACTAAATGTCTCGCGACTAAATGGGCCGTACCCAAAAAAATTTTTTTTGAAAAGATTATAATTTATTTAGAGGAGAAAAACGGATGATTTTTTAATTATTCAATAAATTAATTTTTCTCATTTCTTTCTTCTTTGAAATTAAATATTAAAAAATTATTCTTCTAAATAATTTTATTTATTTTCTTCAATGTTATACTCAAAAACTACAAAATTTTTAATTAAAAAAACTTTTTCTAAAAAATCAATTCGCCCAATTTCAAACAATTTTGTGGAAACTGCTGGTTTTGTTCCTAAAATTGAATCTTATGAATATTCTAATAAAAAATTGTTGCTTTTGGAAAATGGAAAATATATGACATATAAGGATGTTAATAATGCTTCTGGACGTTATTCTAATATTTTAAATAAACAATTTGGAATTCAGGTAGATTTAAAGAATTAAGAAGGGGAGGGGTTAAATAAACACCTTTTGGCAACTGCATTAGTTGTTATGATTAGTGCTCGGCAAAATCGATTTTTCCGGGTCCGGATTTGCAGCCAGACCGGATCCGTCCGGATTAATCCAGTCCGGAAAAAATCCGGAAATCGTTAAAAAACCCAGATTTGGGACCCGATCTCCGATAAAATCCGGCCATATTCGGTCCGACGCCGGGCAATAGTCGTTATTAAAACAAAAGTTTTGGCTATGGCGTATAAATAAAAGGCTTTCAAAAAGTTTAGTTAGGAGCTTAAGTTCTCATAATATTATTTGACCATTAGATTTACTAAAAAACTATATTTTAACAGAAAGGTGACACAGTCCTTTGTCGAACTTCAAAAACTTCTGACGCCTTAGCTCTTTATTTGGGCATACTTCGGCTTGGAGCTACTTATGTTCCATTAAATCCAACTTATACAAAAAGAGAAACTGAACATTTTGTTAATGTAAGAAGAATTTAATTTAATTTTTAATCAAAATTTTACTTGTTAAAGGATGCTAAACCAAAACTTATTGTTTCTCTCAATCAGAAGGAAGACAAAACTTTTTGTGATACTTCAACCGTTAAACACGTTTTGTGTGAAAAACAATTAGCAAAGGTTTGCCAAAGTTGTTTTTGCTAAACATTCCCTTAAATTTTTATAGGATTCTACAAAATTCGAGCCTCTATTAGATGTTGAATCAGCCAATCCCGATGATGTAGCTTGTATTCTTTATACAAGCGGAACTACTGGTTTTTTTCTAAAATTAGTATTAATATTCTAAATATTTTTTAAAGGTCGTCCAAAAGGGGCAATGGTAACACATGCGGGTCTGACAGCAAACGGGCAAATATGTACAGACATTTGGAGGTTTCATTCAAACGAGTCAGTTTTTTAAATTTATTTTTACTTTTTGAATAAGAAGCGATTAATCCTTTGGATAAGTCAGACTGTTAAACGGGAAATTTTTACTCAAAAACGTAAAAAAAACAAGTCTGACATAGATTCCATAAATCCTGCAATCCCTGATTTTAGAGATAAAATTCAAACCTTATTCTACCTGACATTGTTCTACGATTTTTTTAAGAAAAAAATTTCGTTAAAATTATAAAAATTCAAAATTATTTTTCAGTATAAATTTGCATGTTCTGCCTTTCTATCACATTCACGGATTGTTTATAAGTTTCAACTGTACTTTATTCTCCAAATCGAGTTGTATATTTTTACCAAAATTTGATGCAAAGGAAACAATTAATTATTTACCCAAATCAACTGTAATGATGGGAGTACCTACATTCTATGCGTAAGGATTTTAATTGGGGAAAATAAATAAAATGAATATGCCAAATGATGGGATTTTTAAAATTTTATTAAAAAAGAATTTATAGGGGTAGCACGGGGGACTTGAAGGGCAGGACTTTTCCTCTTAATATTTTTTTAAAAAACATTTATTTTTTAGTAGAATGGTTGAACATAAAGAATTAAACAAAGAATCAGTTAAGAACATGCGTGTTTTTATTAGTGGAAGTGCACAATTAACTCCAAATGTTTTTGAAAAATTTGAACAAATGACTGGACATCGAATTCTTGAACGTTATGGGTAATTTTAATTTTAAGAAAATATTTTTTTAATTATTAGAATGACAGAAACACTAGTTTCAACCTCAAATCCTTATGAGCCAGTTAATCAAAGAATTGCCGGGTCTGTAGGGAAAGCGGCAAAAGGTGTTGAAGTATGGGTTTTTTATGAAGATTTTTAATTAATTTAATTATTTTTAAGGTTCGAATAAATAAAGAGGGAGTAATTGAAGTTAAAAGTCCAAGCCTTTTTAAAGGTTATTTAAATTTACCTGAAAAGACTAAACAAGAATTTACTGATGATGGATATTTTATTACTGGAGATATGGGCGAAAAGGATGATAAAGGTTTGCAATAAAATATTTTTTGACACTGTCGGACTCCAACTACAAACAATTTAATGTTAACGGCTTCTCGTCTGTAATATAGCTCACCATTTATTTTTTAATTTTTTCATCAATTAAATAATTTTTTTATATTTTCAGGTTATGTTTGGATAAAAGGAAGGCAAAAAGATTTAATTATAAGTGGAGGAATGAATGTTTATCCAACTGAAGTTGAAGAAATTGTAACTATTTTATTTGGAGAAAGAATTAAGGAATGTGCCGTTATTGGTTTGGTTTTTTAATTTATAGTTCCCAAAATTTTTTAACTTTCACTATGTCCTATTGGAAATCTATTAATATTTTAAAATTCAAAATAGTTTGGATTTAAATTTTGACTGGGAAATTTCTGATGGGATAATAGCATTTTAAAGGTACCCTTTGGGGACATGAGCTTTAGGTTCCAGTCCCTTACAGTTGGATTGTTTCACAGAAAGATTATATCCTTAATCCCTCTATATAATATCTAATCGTATTTAAAATTCAGCCGTTCCACATCCTGATTTTGGTGAAGCAGTTGTCGCTATATGTGAAGCATCCGATTTTTATAAAAAAGATATTTCTACAGAAAAATACAATTTAACAGCTGATGAAAAACAAATTTTAAAAGAAAAACTGGCTCCATATAAAATTCCAAAGGCTTTTTATTTTATGAATTTACCAAGAAATCATTTAGGTAAAATAATATATTTTATTTTTAATTATTTTTCATATTTTTTAAGGAAAAGTTCAAAAAAATTTGCTTAGAGAAATGCCGAAATTTAAAAATATGTTTCAAAATGCTTGAATGAAAAGAAGGAATTTGCTAATTTTTAGTTATAGGAAAATGTTTTTGTCACCTAAGAAATACTATTCACTTAAAAAATTTTAAAAATCAAATAGATCTAACTCATATTATTAAACTCAAACATATAATTTATTGTAATTAACAAATAATTTCTAACAATTCTATTCTGTTGTCAGTTCTAGAAATTCTATTAAAAATATTTTTTATAGTTATTTTTTAATTTTAATACCTTTCTTAACTTTTCCGATTAAATTATTTTTTATAATTTATTTTCAATCAATTTTTTTAGGTTAAAACTTCCCAATTTATTTTTAATATTTTTAGACATTTTAATTATTCTTTGCATTTTTTTCAGTTAATTCTTGTTACTTAAATAAATTCCCAAAGAATGTTTTGCTTACCAACAGAGGCAAAGCTTGATATTTTTAAAATTTTCACCCATCAACAATTATGTTCAATTAAACAAACAAATTTTTATTTTAATGATTTTATTACTAATTTTGAAGGAGAACTTGCTCGGCAAAAATTATGTGATATCTCTATTGTAATGATTTTTAATTAATTAAAAAAATTATTATTAAGGATTATTTTTATCACTTCGAAGAACTTCCACATAAATTAATTAAACCTGACGCTAAGGATTTTGACTTTTTGTTGAATGAGCAAATTGAAGAGAAGGTTAATTTAAATTAAAATATTTAAAGATTTCCTTTCTTTTTAGTTGAAAAATGGACTAGAAACCCCAATTCCTTTGTATTTACATGAGCAAAATTCCTCCGAAAATATTGTTATCTGTTTAATTGAAGGAGGTTAAATTTTGTTTAATAAATTTATTCAAGTCCTCAATCACCAGTAGTTTAATTGTGGGCAACGCTGTTCCGCGCAAAGAAAAGAATGCGGATTGTGTTGACCTCAATTTTTAATATTAATTTTCTTTATTTTTTTCATAGAAAAATAGAATTTTTGTACAACTGTCCAAAAGGTTTATTTTAATCCAAAAAATTTTCAGGTCGACTTCTTTTACTTCAACTACCAGACATCATTAAAAGCAAAGACGACATCAGAATTGTTTACTATTATTTAAATAAATTATTTAATTGTTCTTTTGAATATGGCTGCTTCAATATATTTATCTTCAATCCGGAATTAATTAAATTATTATTTGGAAATGCTAAACAAGTTTATATTCGAACCCTCGTTCTGCCATTTATGGATCGCAATATTGAAAATGTCTTGAAATTTATTTTGAATCATCTAATTAGCAACTATCTTAAAATTGATTTTAATTTATCTGAAGACATAGAAAAATATAAAGATATTTTATTTAAAATTTTAACGAAAGGAGACAATTTTAATGAAATTAGTTTGATTGACTTATTAAATTCAACAACACTTTATGAAAATATTATTGAAGTAAGTTACCAATATGATAAAAATAA